AGCTATGTGTCGCTTGAGACAACGCAGTGTCAATTTTAATCTGATAATACGTCGAAAATAATCAAATCGACCTAGTTCCTCTCAAAATCTTCACATACTTTAAATACGTAAATAGAACATACAGACTGTGCATGTCTAATATGTAGTTTGAAGCCATCAATGATTTTAACATTTTAATTCTCTAACAGCATCAATCTTCATTAAGATCTAATGGCATTTTCCTATTTTAATTTGAACTTTGATAAAATGCGCAATTCCTTCATGCTAAATTCTCACATTTTAAACTTGCCTGGTTTGGCTACTTCTTGTTCTCTTTTCTCTTGTCCGTTTGCTCAATAAATAAAATAATTTTTTGTAGACCTCAATTTTTCGATAAATCACGCCAATTATCGTTTTTCTTTCTTCTTTTTTGCTGTTGATATCGACATTATATTAATGACCATTAAGAATTTTTTGTCTGCAATCGCTTACCCCGAACAAAAAAAAATATATATAAATTTTATAGTTTCGATTATTATTATTGTGAATGACTTGGAAGCGAATATTCTCCAATTTTTTCTTCATGTGCGATTATATTTATGAGTGTATATAGACTATAGACTCGATAGACTAAAGAGTAAGAGAAAGAAATTAATTGAAACTAATAAGCTCAACATTATATCACATTTTTATTGCTTTAGTCGCCGAATAACTCTTTAATATCGTCAACGAACTAAGAAAATTACTCAGATATAAAAAAAGCAAATGAATTTTGGTTGTTACAAAAGATAAAGATCTAGCGAGGGGGCATTAATGGCAAGAATTTTATGAAAAGCAGAGCAAAGCAAAAAAAAGGAATCAAGACATAAAGAGGCAGAATTGAATGAAAAAGTGAGATGTATGAAGAGTGATAAATAAGTAAAGGGGTCTTTCGAAAATGATGTTAATCGACTAAAGATGAACTTTTATTATTTTATTCTTAGTGATAAAGGGTTCTGGTACCTTCTTGCCTCAGCAGTCCTAATAAAGTCCTAATAACTAGTAAAATTACAAAATGGCAGAATCGTCACATCAAAAGTTAAGATTTGAAATTTACTTCCATCATAATTTTGTTTTTGATTATTTTGATGAGAACATTGTTTAAAGGAGTGAGCAAGAAAGATTTTGTTGATTCCATTCAAGTTGGTCAAGTACTTAGCACAAAAATTGAACTTTTAATTTTTCAAAATGGTGGATTTTTCGAGAACATTAAAAAATTTCGTTAAAATTAATTTATTTTTTGATTCATTATTATTTTCTCGGATACTGATAAATTTCTAGCTATTTAGACTAAACGACTTCGAGCTCCATGAAAACAATATGCTCCATCATTTCTAAACGACCCCCAAAGAAACGACAACAAGAATATCTTTTTCTAAATCAAAGTAAATGAATGAAAATTGAAACAATTGGATGATTTAAGTGCTAGACGAAAAGAAGCGTAAAGATGTCTCATCATAATAATGTTGTGAAGAAGAGATGGAAATGAAAGACGAAAAAAAAAAATTATATAAATGAAGACGACATCAGCCTGTAATTCTGATGGTGCGAAATGGTTTCAAGCAATTCCTCATTTCCCTTTCCTTCAGCCTTAACGAAAGTATCTCTTATTTTTTGTTTTACTCTTACTTCTTATTTTCTTTACGAGCCGAAAAATTACAGGCATCACACTTAGAACGACTGATCCACAATCTTATAATTTACTTTAGCCTTTGTCAAACGTTTTGTATATTCTTATAATGACAGCCCGCATTAATGTTACAACAGCTCGAGTGTTCAGAACGATTTTGAAATGACCTACATTGAGGCATACGATTTTATTTTATTTTTTACAAAGCGAAACTTTTGTTTTAGTTTTTCCATCATCAAGTGAAAGAGGCTGGAGATTTTTTTAATTTTATTTATGTTTCATGTTGTATGTTGACATAGCCTCTGAATTGCGGTTTCTATTTAACTTCTAGTTTTTTTGATAAAAAATATAACGCTAACATGCTTATTTTCACTCCAAAAATAGAGTAATAGAGAGCTAGTTTGCTTATTATATGTGAAAGCTGTCATGTGGTCGTCGTTTAGTGAAAACTTAATAATATACACAATTTTCACTTGTCGCGTTTAATTCAATCTGTTCAATGGCAAGCGAGTTTATAAGAATATTATAATTTGTAAAAGTAACGCGGCATAGCGTGAACATTTACAATTTTTAATGCAAATTATGCTGTAATTATTTTTGCACAACAGACTAAATAATCCCGCTTTGTCTATTGCGTGTCTATCGATAGTAAAGAAACGCATGTGACACTTTACTATTCAATGAAAGCACATGTTCAATAGCACAAAAGATAATTTTTTCCCTCTTGCATGTCATAAATTGATAATGAGATGTTTCAGTAGCATACGTAAATCTTTTTGCATAAATGAAATATTTATGGCATCTTTAGAGGCAACTTTTTGAACGAGGATTGGCTTTACTATTAATACTTTGGCTTTCTGTCTGTTATTTTGTACAAAATTAAGGAATGTCGTGGTATAGCAAAGTGATTTAAATCTGAAGCAGTGGTGCACAACCTTTTGTGATGTTGTGATTTCTAGCTACGTAGCTTGAATGAGTATCTATTGAACAAAACTCATTGAATTCCTAAGACAATATCATATTGAAGCAGGAATGCGCTTTCAAAGGACAAGAATCACAAAATCACATCTGCACTTTATCGTTTGACGACTCAGACAGATTAGATGAACAAAAAGGAAAATGAAACTATTTTAAAGCCGAGAAAACTGATCCAAAATGGTCATAAATTATGCAAAAAACAAAACCTACTCACTTCTAATCTTTCAAGATTTAAAGATCCGCTTTAATGTAGACAGTATGTCCTCTTTCGTTGTCGTAATCCTTCGGAGTAAATAGCAAAATAAAAGAATTCTTTTTTCAACTTTGAAATGAAACTTCAGTAGTGATCCTTAAACTTTTTTTTGTTCCCTTTTCTCTTCTTTTGCTTGTTGTGTTTCTTATTTCTTCTGACACATAAAAAATCACTGATAAGTTATTTTATACTTTTTGGAATATAAATTTTATTCCAATTTCTTGCAACGTCGAGAGAAAAAAAAGGAATTTAATGTCCAATGACGACTTGAAATTCTATCCTTTTTTTTACATTTATATACACTTGCTTCCCTATCCTCGTTATTATCATTATTATTAAGATTTTATTATTCCTTGCAAGGTGAGAAAACTGAACTATTTTTTTGACGGAAAGGCACACTGTGATCTGAATAATAATTTTTTGAAATATTCTTTTGGGTCATCAAAAATGATGTTTATCTGAAACTGAGCTTAATATACTGTTAAGCAGATCTAAATGTTTAAAAAATAGTCTACGTGCCTTAAGCTTAACCCCACCACACATCCCATTTGTACAACTTTGAAATACCTAAAGAACATTACTGTACTACTTGTGGATGATCTATCTTACATGCGATCCTAAAGTTCATGGCTTTAAACTTGAGATTTTTGCGGTATATGTTGGACTCAATCAAGTAATTCTAAAATTACCTTCAGTTTTATAATTTATGAAATCGGACTTACTAATAAGCTTATTGAATTTAAACCAAACTGTGGCTGAGCATTTGCAAGAATTTAATGATGATTTAATAGTTTTGTAACATGTTTGCAGCTGATTTCAATCATAACAGGTTTTTTTTCGGCAAGAAATAAGTGGTTTTTGTGTAAATACATCAATGCTACTAAGAAAGGTTGATGGAATTTTACGGGAATGATTGAAGTTATGGGAGGTCCAGTTTAGCTGATTCTGCTTCTTGTGTTGTTCTGATTTAGAAAGTTTCTGTTCAAGTTTAAGAGGTTTAAATGCCAGGGCTTTTGGGAGAGGGGTGTGGGGGACTTAGCACCTAGTTAAACCGAGCTACCTCTCGCAACTTTCATTTAAATTTAGAATCAAAAGATTATTCTAATGTCCAATAATTCTATAATTGTAGATGTGAATGACAAAATCATGTGATTTCTAAGGGCTACTGTGGATTCATATATGCTTAATTTCTGTCATGTATGTAATACATACAACTAGACCCTCCTAGCAACTAATTGCTATACACGTCATTAACAGAATAGTTCAATAATTCCTCTCATATTCGACAAAAAGCTATAAGCATCAATTCTCATATCCATCCCAAAAAAATAATCTCTAACTCTTGTCCCACCTTGATTTTTCCACAAAACTGAAAGTAAAATTTGCCTTTTTAAGTACAATATTAGATGTACACCCCCGCACTTTTAGAAAAAATATATAATTTTGTAGATGTGTTTTTGGCTCTGCTTATTCCCAAAATATAATATGAATGGATATGAATAGATATGGCAGAAAAACAACTTTACGCATTTATTCAATTGAGCCAGCATAAAGAGCTGTGTATAGTATTAATGGTAGTAAAGTTGAGTTACAAATTTCTTTCTTACAAGAATAAAAACAATAAAATAAAATCTTTTGCTGATTATTATATGCTACCACACACAATGTGCTGTTGACAAAAATTTATATAAGTTTCTTTGTGTATCTGTTAAGTGGGGTTTGTACTCCAGTGATGAAGACTTAATTGAGGGGGGGGGGGGGGGGGGGGTACCAAAAATTCATTTTCGGATTGAAGTTATGTGTTACAAAGGAGAACAAAGGATCCATGGAAGCATTTACTAATAGACATCACTGCCGAACGACCCCCTAAACGACACACAAGAAAAGAAAAACTTGTTTAATACCAATTTTATGCTTTAATTTTGTGGATCATGTGGGTTGCATTAAATATGTGCAAAGATACATAGAGAGTAGCTAATACTCTTAACCAAGCAGGCAAAAGTAAGTTCGACCGTAGACTTTAAAGAAGTTTTGTGCTTGTGAAACCACACTTTATTTATAATTGTAATTTAATATATATGCAGAACAGATCTATATAAACAAAAATTATACAATACACACTTGTATCCAATTTGAAATTTTGCACCGAAAAGTCTCTTTCCACTTTTTACTTCTTCTTCTTTCTCTACATACACACGCGCATACACTCGTAAAATTAAAATACGTTCTACGCCTTGAATTTTTTTTTTTCCTCTCTATTATTTTTTTTTTCTCCTTACACTGGAGTAAGAATTTCTTTTATTGACCATTCATTAACTCTTTTATTTTATTTTTTGCATAAAGCCACTATGAAGCCATGTTAATCCATCAAAAATGTTGGTACAATCCTACTGTAGACGAAGTAGGATAAAGCTTATTAACTACTTTAGGCTCTTCACTTTGCGAATAAATCAACAGAAACGCGACAATATTTTCTTTCCAGTTTTGAACTGTTTCGCTGCTGCCGAGAGACTGTTTCTGTATTCGTGAATGAAATAAAGTCAATGAAATTTTAGAATTTTTTTTGTCTCTCTCTCGCCTTTTTCGAAAATTTACTTACTCTCTCATGCTCTATTCGGTGATTGTTTGGCTCTCTTTTTTTTACATCAGCTGAATATTGTCATGGATGTAGCACTAAGAGTTTCTCGTGACATTATTGAATGACAATGATAAATGAAAAATTTTGATGATCCATTAAAGATTCCGAGGGAAATTTGAAATATCAAGTTAATAAACATAAAAATTAAAGACATTAAAGTTAATGCTTCGTTGTGCAATTTTAAGAGAGTGAGCGGCAAAACATTGAGTTCCAACAATAATAAAACATTTGAATGAAACAATAACAAATTTGTACGTGACTGTTAAATTCATTAAAAATTGGTGACTTATTATATGCTTACATACTTTCCCACAAGCATAAACATCTTAATTAACATAATTTATCCAGCCATAAGTAATATTTCCATTTTGTGGAATAAGAATCAAGTGACACATCCTGAAAATATTTTCATGTTTATTCTCCGCTAAATGTTATGCTGCATCCTATATGATATATTGTGTATGATAACAAGAAAAGCAGGAAGGATTAAAAAGAAATATAATTTAATGTGCGTAAATATATGTGACATAAAATATGAAGAGCTCCCCCCTTAATTATAAGCTATTGTATTTTATGATATCATCAGCAACAATTCATCATTAAACTAAACTCTTGGTTGATCTTATGCTCTTTTGTAGAGTTCAACTCGACACCACAGTTTTGATATCGTTCCAAGAAATAACGAGGAACTAAGAACTACTGTTGACTAGGGGATTTGTGGATGACATAAGCGCATTTATTATGTTAAGAATTATGAGCCTGAATTATTAAGGATGTTTTTTTTGACTCCCCCTCTAAAAACTTTAATATTCCTTACAATTTTTCACTTATGTTGCTTACGTACGTATGTTTTTTTACGTGCGTATTTTTACGTAATCCACTTCGAAATGTTTTTCAGCATTTTCTAGCTGAGGAAGTGATTAATCAATAAAATCTCTTGTCAATCTATTCTTTAGCATAGCACACGAATTTTAAACAAAAAACAGCATCGAAAAAGCTTAAGATGAAGTGACAATCAAGCGATAAACAAACTGACAAGTGGACAAATTGAAAACTAGCTTCAACATGATAAAAATGCTAAATAGAAACTTTCCCTCTCGCTTCCTCCTCATCAACCCGTCTTTTATTATCCGACAGTCAGACATTATCATTGTTCTGTCTCAATTCTAACGTACTTGAAACTTTTTCCTTCTTTTCTTGGATGGGATACGAATGGGATAAAATAATAATAGTTTCATCCCGAAAAATTGTTTGTAAAAACTTTTAAATGCAATGTTTTTTAAAAAAAAGGAAATTTCTCAAAAGTTGATACTGTTTTAGTTCTTTTTTATTGCACTAGTGTGTTGTTGGATGAGATTTATTTGTCTGTATTTTTATTACACTTTACTTCCCAGTAAAGATTTTGTGATTGATGGTTTATGAGTCTGAAAATCGATACTGACATAATTTTATTTTTCGGGGGTTTAAAAGATGTTTTATTGGTACAGAAGATCTTAAATAAAAATGTTTCCTGAATGACTTATGGATTAGGTTGGAATGGAATGAGAAAAATTCATTTTTTAAGAAAATGTTCCTTCTTGGGATTTTAATTGCGGTTAGGTTTTATCATCCTCTTGCTGATGGTACCCAACTGCTGCTTCAAGTCCATTTCACAGCTTGATTGCTAACTTCAACGATTTAAAACTTGATAAAATCAGAACAGCACAGTCTGATAGATTGCATGACTAATAAAAAGCTCACAAAAGGAAGAAACACGTGTTTTTCCATTGTTCGTCCAACTCCTAGCTTGTTTAAAGCACGCGATAAAAAAAAATCAGTTCAAAAGAGTTTGAACAAACAAAGTTAATACTTTCCTAACAGTATTTGATAATAATCCCTTGTTAAAGTAGAAAGTTCGCCAAGGATTTTTTTAGCTCTATTTTATTTCCTGCTAAAGTTTATGTCTTCAATAAAAGTTGCAGCATTAAATCTCGAATAAAAAACTCCCTTCAACTTTTTACAACATATGAGATGCGCTTTATTCATCCATTTCCGTATGATAAGCAAAATTGTCGCAATTTTTTGTCATGACAAAAAAAAATCCATATTTTCCATTAATTTCTATACAAAATTCAAAAATCAAAATATGAGAAGAATTTTATTCTTCCCCACAATTTACTTTCTATACTGTTTTAAGTGGTCGATCGTAAATGATGTGTAGCTTTTAAGGATGTTTATTTCTAGATTATGACTAGAGTACATCAAGACTTGGTTAAGGTTATGCCTAAAGTAGAACCATTACATCCCTAAAGTAAAACTTAAGAGCCAGTCTAGGTTTCCTTGGTTTTAAAAAAGTACATCATTTATAGACGACCCATCAAATATTTTATTTTATTATGAAATGGATTTGAATTCTCTCATAAATTGATATCTGTTTACATTTTGAGTAGGAACGAAAAAAAATATGGAATGAAAACAAATGAATATCAAGTGATGTTACCGGTACAGACGTGCTCTCACATTCATAAAAAAATCAACAGAGGAAATAAGTGTAATATCATTTTTACTGCGCAAGACAATTTAACGACCCTGAGAGATGTGAGGAAGAATGCTATTATCATATACGGCTTTAAATCTCTATGCTGATAAAAAAAATTATTTATTTTTCCAATGGATAAAAATAAAGATGCTATAAATTGAATCATAAAAATCAACTTCAATGTTATGTGCGTCAATAGATGAATGTAGATGGTTTACTATTTGAGCATTTTTACGAGACTTTTGCAATGTGATATTATGTACGCTGAGGGTCTCAGTCTTTCTACACACTTGACTTCCAATCTCCTTTTAGTAGATCTGCTTTATGGGGTTTATTCAATAATGTCGTCTGAAGATTGGTTAAAGTAGTGTTTGACATACTTTTAGGTATGGAAGCTCTTTAACTAGTGTTATTCGAGGTCTAAAGCTTAATGACAATTATGCAATGATTGACTATTGGCTGTGAAAAAGCTGAAGAAGCAATAGTATTATAGTAACGTCTTAGGATTGATTCGAATGCTTCATAAGCTGTTTTAGAATCAAAATTCAACTTTTAAGAGCTAGAACAGTGACAAAGCATCTCGTGATTTTGTGCTTTGAGATCAAAAAGTTTAATGCTAATTCATTGATTCTTGACTCGATCTCCAGAAGGTCATTTTGTTATTCATACAATCATGCCAATAGAAATTAATCTCACAAACTTTCCCTTAAATTTTTCATGGACATCATTAGCAACAAATCCCATTGATCATTAAAACAGGATAAGCAGGCATAAAAGATTGAAAATTTTCTTCCATAATTTTTAAGATCCAATTAATTATGCGAGAAATGGAAAAGATAGGCCATAATAGAAATAATATAAATGTGAAAAGTTTATGATATCCCCCCTTTTTTTTTGCCTTCTTTTGTATTTTGTGTAAAATTTAATTTAGTTTTTCCAACTGAGAAACTTTTCCTCTAAGGTTTTAATTGAGGTTTTGTGCTGAGTTGAGATGGAAAAGGCAAAAATTAAAGCTCATTGATATCACAACACATACACATATAGATGCTAGTGTATAAAGCATGTGCTATTAACGATAACAATAGATTTTGTTTTCTTTACCAATATAAAGTTCTCATTTTTGTTCTATTGTTTCAAGCAAATTGAAATATTCGCTGAAGAGAAGAATAAATTGAATTGAATCATCGTTGGAAACTTTTAATTAATGCAATAAAGCAGCTGAATCTAAACACAATTATCGAGAAGAACTTAAAGTTTTCAAGCATTAGCTTTTCATATTTTGTTATGATGATGATGCTGTGCACTTTGATTGGATGTATGTAGTTATAAGTGTCTAATTAATAGAGACTCTGGTTCTTTTTTTTAAAGAATGAGTTGATATACGAATGCAGTTGTTGAATTGAAAATCAACTTTAATTTATAAATAAATACAATCTCAGTTTCCATTGAAATGTTACAAAACAATTTGATTTTAGTTGTAATTTTAAAGTTGATTGAAATAGTCCGTTTAAGATATTAAATTAATCTCCAACCTCGAGGTTTTAAGGCTCAGTTAAGCTTCTACTCAGTTTGATCAGTTCAATATTTAAAGTTATTACTAGTGACGAGATTCCTTTGGCATTTTAAGAAGGTAATTAATTTTTTGATAGAATTTAAGTTTGCTTAACTTATGAACTTATTTTATTGATTCAAAGTTCATTTCTCAATTGTATTATGATTGTAAATATATTGTAAAGTACTTTAAGGGCGATTCTACGAATGATTTTTTCTACAAATCTATATTTCTCTTTATCAGTTGCATTACTCTCCATGTTTCATGTATTTAATAGTAGATTTTACCGAGATCTGCATATTGTTCTCACCCAAACATATTAAGAATGGTTAATTAAAGAATTATTTACATTCTACGAAAAATTACTTTTTTTCACATGAATTTTTTCGCCCAAATTTCCAAAATGTTTTCATTAATATCTTTAAGGTGGTAAAATTTCCAGTAATACTAAGTATACAAAGTTATAGCTTAAAGTAAAAGCTTCAAAACGATGTCAAAATCATATTTGTGGAAGCCTTAATTAAGCTGCAATTTGGATTCTACGAAAAATTTCATAACTGAAACAGAGGAATTTGAAGACAATTCCAAAAAAACTACCAAATATTAAAATTAAAACCATGAATTTCTCAAGCCATAGCTAAGTAATTTGAGTGCAGATGTAATCATAATTCACAGTTTAACCAGTAGAAAAGGAAATGAGAATTAGATTTTTGAAAAACTATGCACAAGTGAAAATAACATAATTAAAAAATTTCATGCAATTGACACGGATTATTTTCATGAAACTTTTTCGTAGAATTGCCTTTAATTAATTATAGAATTTTTAACTTATAGAGTATTTGGGCGATTCTCCAGATAAAAATTTTCAAAAAACCACCACTAAAATGAATTTTTTATAATTTTTTTCCATTAGAGAGCCTCGAAAGACAAATTAATATTGTACAACTTTTTAAACTCTACAAATCTGTATAATTAAATGCTTTCAATATACTCTAATTAAGGAAATATTTCGATTCTTCGGACGATTTCTCGAAGACAAAATATGGTATTTGGATTTTTATAATCAAAAATTAAGTATTAAAAACTATTCTTTGACATATGATATAAATACCAATCGATAGAAAACGAACTACTTTATCATATATGACAACAATTTTATTAGGCTTAATACAAATTTCACAAGAAAATTCAATTCTTTTGATGAAAATTTTGTCTTCGAGTAATTTTTAAAGCGCTTGAAACTAATTTGTGAGATTCAAATTTTTCAAATACGTTATAAATTTAAATGGAATATTTTTAAAAGAAACGATGATGATTGAGTGCAGTATTAATTATTAATTACCTTTTGTTTAGTTAAAACATATAAAAAAAAAATGATTTTTATAAATTAAAACAAAATTTTATTTTTGTAAACAAGTCTTTGTTTACATTTTTCCCAACGTATTTCAAAAATTTAAAAATTTCAAGTAGCAGTGGAATTACAGTTCTGTTTTTAAAAATTCAACCTATCTGGAGAATCGCCCATTTGCATAGCTAGTTCAGATACTCAAGTTAAATACTTGGTAAGGGTACAGTTTTGTCATTTGACAATAAGATGATTCTACGTATAAAAACTTCAATAAGAAATACAAATAGTATTACTAAAGACGTGGGTTCGATTCCCATTTATTATTTGATTGTTGATATAGATTTTGAAATTCAATTGAATGATTTTTTATTTTTTAAACTTTTAATTTTTTACCACTTTCCAACAAGTTTTTAATCAATGTTTCTAGTTCTTCCAATAAAATAATTCTGAACAATTAAGCGCTTAATGATTTACCAAATCTAGTGAAAACCTTTCTTACTCATTTTTACAGAAACTATAGTAAGAAAAGATCACTCAAGCTCGAGAGTTTAAATGGGATATCAAGTGTGCTTCTGCTTCCTATAATATGATATAAACACAGTAAGTAAGTTTTGAAGACTCAATCAATAATCTAGAAAAAGTTTCACTATTCATTCAACATATTATCACATTATTACATTAAATGTCTCATTCTTATGTTATTTATGATTATTATGTTATTTTGTAAAGAATATCAGTTTCACACTTAACTTCTCATGTTTTTCACATCATATCTCATTTATAGTAGGTAGGTATAGAAATAGCTTTGCCGTACGCACGAAACATTTTACATCACGCAAAAAAAAGAGAGAATCCACAATAGATAAACTTTTCGGTTACAAAATATCATTTACATTGTGTATATGTGCCTTACGAAGAATTAATTGCCATCATAATTGTGTCTGTTTGTATGCTCATACATAAATATGATGATTAAGTCATTCGCACAAAGTGAGGCAAATGTTTTGAAAATAGACAAAGAAGAAGGGAAACTTTTATTTTAAATAGAATTACAGCTCGACTTTATTTCTCATCCTTTAATTGCATGAGTGGGAACTGAACGAATGAATGAAAACTGTTACATATTTACACAAAAAATTTATAAATTCGTCTAGCTGTTCTACAAGAGAGACACACAGTCAATGATGGGGTGACAAACAGGATGTAACGACGTAAAATTAAATTAAAACTCCGGCAATCACAGTTTTGCAATCACACACGACTCATAAAATTGTTTCAACATGTGTTGACACATTTGAATTTTTAATATTAATGGCAATGCGATTGAATCTCGTGTGAATGATGATGTTGAGGTTTAAAGTCGATTGAAGTTGATTTTCGACTGGATGTAGCTGTTTCAATGATTATCCAAGGGTGCAGCCAAACAATCTTTGAACAAGGTATGTAAATTATTTATTGAGTAGCGATGGGTTGATGAATTAGAGCATTAAGGACTTGTAGAGTACATAAGGGCTCGTAATATTCGTAATTTTATTCCATGAATCAGTCTCACACTCAAACTCTTTCCCTGATTCTTAAAAAAAACCAAAATATTCTACAAAACATTCAAAAACCGCTCCCCAACCATCAACCTCTGACTATACACAGCACAATAAAATCTGAGTTGACTTTTTATGCTCGAAAATTGATTTATAAAACTCAGCATTCGTGAGAAATACTATATAGTCTAATGAACACTGCTTAATGCTTTTGGGACTAGGAACTGTTATTTATTTTTTGGTCGTTTGATATTTAATGTTTAATTTGAATTGCCATTTAGATTGGTAAACTTTAAATGAAACGCTGAATTGTTGATGAATCATTGCGAGTTCTATGACGGAAGCGCACATTCAATGACAAAACTCATGAGAAAGTCAAATTTAGACTGTGAGATGACCTAGGAATGAGCGCTGACAGAGTAACTTCCTTTGAGAAAATTTATGATGTTATTGCAGCTTCATGATGATAGTTCTTGGTTACATAAATGAATGTGTGTAGTCTTGAGAACGTAGTCTAGACTTTTTGGTAATTTATTCATATGTAGATAGTTGAGAATGGACATAAAGTTTTGCTGGAAAATTTGCGAGTAAATCATAGAGATACTTTAGAACTCAGCAGCATATAAAGGGGTTGTTCAAAAATGATGTGTAATAAGGAAAGTTATGCTGTCAGTAGGAATGGAAGTATGTTTGCTAAACAGTATCTTTGAAGTTATCATTGATCCAGGGGCGTAGCCAGAAAATTGTTAAGGGGGGCCCATTTTCGAAAATTAAAAAAACCGTTATTTTGTATCCTTAAATCTATATTCGTTCTTCATAAGTTTAAATATTTAATTCATTATTCATACATTAAATTTAATTTTTCGTGCTGATTTTGACATTTCTTTCATCACTTCCTCTACATTAACTGGTTCTTATCTATAAATACTTAATAAAACAAATATCAGATTTTCGTAGGGGGGGCCCGGGCCCCCTATGCCCCCCCCCCTGGCTACGCCCCTGCATTGATCCTTAGGAAGTTCCTACAATGCTCTTTGAAGATTGAAAAGTGTAAAGAATGCGTTAACGGTTAATTTAAATTCAAATTATATGTACAACTACAATTAGTTGATTTTCCCTTGTATAGTTGTTGGCCCCTTCGTAGAATTATTAGTCTGTTTTTGATCACTGAAGAATAAACATTGCTGATACGAACAATTCAAGAGTTTCGACCGTTACAGTTTCCAAGAAAACGTGTGAAAATGTCTTATTTTTCTGTCTGCCATACAAAATTTGAAGTTTCATTTTCGAAAATTACAAAAAATAAAAACTTAAATTAAACAAGTTTTGTATGAAATTTAGATGAAAATATTATGTAGTCATTGAATGATAAGCAAAGGATCAAGAACTCTAATAAAATCACTAAAATTGTAACGGTTTCTTTCAAATTTAAACTTTTCGAACGTGCATATTATAACTCCCCTAGACTTTCGATAAGTCTGTCTTACATGAATTGTTCGTATCAGAAACATTGTTATTTTTGTCTGATAGGCATCAGGTCTACATCAGCAACCTTCTCTTATAAGTTTGATTCCCACCCGAAGTCAATCTACCATCTACTACAAAGATTATGAACGATACGACTAGTGAAAGGGCTGGGAGGGTCCATATTGAGACAGAAAGGGGTCCTTAAATTCAACTTCCAACTGACATCACTTGCGAACGCCCGGAAAAGCATGAAACAAGCATATTTGTTGTGTTTTTAAATATATATTTTATTTATTTTGTATTTTTGTTTATAGGACAATTTATTCTCATATGTGTAAACTTTTCATCAATTTCTTTGGCTTATATCGACTAACGTAAATAGCGTTACATTTACTTATGCATGCTTTTTTGGTATAATTTGACATTTTACACATCATTTTATTTTATTTTATTTTTCTTTTTTTTGTTAAAGTTTCTTTAAAAATTATAAGACATATTCTTTATTTCCTCATTTTTTTATATCATTTTTTTTTAATAATTAAATCTAAAAAAATTTTATGCAATAAAAATCGATTTTTTTTCCTTGTGTGGCAACTGACATAATTAATGATGTGGCTTTCGATAAACGAAAAACCATATAAAGCTATTTTATCCTATCTTCATATTACGTAAACGTAAAAATATCTCTCTTCTTGTGCTACAAAAATTTTTATAGATATCCATCAACCTTTTTTTTGTATTTATTTATTCTTTTTAATTAATCAACATTGACTCTATTATTCACATTCAACAAATCACAATGCATTTCCATTTCATATATAAATCGAATATCGGTATTTTTTTTTATCTATATAATTTTCATATTTTTTTCTTCTTATTTTTCTTTTATCAAAAAAGCTTCAAATTTCCGCTAAATTGGAACATATTCCTTTTTTTTTGTGTTTTATTATTCGATGTACAATTCACTTCATATTATTCTCATATTTTTGTATCTTTAAATAATATCAAATTTTTTGCGATTAACAATATGTATATTCTCACTTACATGCATGTATCTTTATCAATTATAATATTCTTAATATTTTTTTTTCTTTAATTTTTATTCTAACGAATTTACTTCTTTTATGTTTCATATATCAAAATATTTTATTTTTTTGTGGCATCTTTGTTCATTTTTTTGTTTTGTCAAACAATTAGAAAGACTAATTACTTCTTTGTAGTTTTCTTTTCATTTTGTCTAGTTTCTTTTTAACAATATTAATAGGTATGTTCATTTCATTAGAGGAATACAAATGCTTCTTTAGGTTGAGTTTAGGATTTAAAAGTAAAATTGTTTGAATTTTAAAATCAAATCTTCAAAATTCATTGAATTGTCAAATTTTTTATAAAATAGTGTTCATTTTTGATCATATTTGATCAGTTTCAAAACCTTGTTTAAAAACCATTAACTTAGAATCATCAAAAAGATAATCAATATTAAATTTAAAAATCTTACAAAGTCAGCAGAACATAATATTATAATAAATTCAATTGGATGTCTAGCAAGTAGCATTATAAAAACAATTTTCAGTTAATCTTTATTCGATTAGCTCAACAAATAAAAATGAAAGAAATTCTCAAGAATCATTATGGTATTTACTTCGCACTTGATGTAATAAAATATTCAATTGATATTCAGACAATCCGTTGGAAAAATCCAACCTTTATCAAAGTTCTTCTTCTTGTTCGGGTTTACACAAAAAAAAAAATATATATCGCAGCAGGAGAAGTGTACGTGAATTGAACAAAAGAGCAATTATTTTAATCTATTTTACCCAAACAAAGTTAATCGGATACTTTTTTTTGTTCTCTTCCTTATATGAACACACATATAAATATTGTTTATGTGATTCAATTTTATGAGATAATAAAGGTATTTTAATCGCTCATTGAGTTACTATGTTTCATCACCATTAGAATGGGTGTAACATTTGAATCGTGTCGCGTTTTCCTGCAACTCTGATCAAAATCATTGATTGGATTATTAATAATGTTGCTTAATGCATTCGAGCGATCAAAATCGATAGTAGCATAGCCGAGCTTCTTGGGACTTTCGGGTGGAAATAGGCCACTTGATGCAGACACAGAATTAACCATCATTTGACTTTGATTATCACTACAACTATCGACACTGCCATTATTATTTCCAATATTCTTGCTGCCTAAATTATTGTTGTTATTTATTGTTGTCTGCTGATCGAGATCTAAAACAATATAGTTGACCTTCCGTTGCGTTGGTGTGCATGGTTCTGATTTATCTGTTCGGTCGATGAGAGGTAAATCGACTTTTGAAAAGATCTCAGGACGTGAGTATCGATTTCGAAGCATTAATGGCTTCATTTCCGATAGTCCTATATCCAAGTTCTCGTAACAACGTGTCGTTGGATCTTGTGAGAATGATAGTGCCCTAGTGAATCCAAAAATATTGCCATTAACAACGTTCTTTGTATAATCTTTTTTAATATCATTTAATTTCGAGTTTAGATTATTTGCCAAAACAGGAGGTGTCGTAGCTATAGGAGGTTGATTCTCTTTAATATCAGTAGAATTAGCAGGTGGTGTCGTTATTTGATTATTTTCTTCACCAATACCAACATTCATGTAAACAGCTTTGATGGAATCCGGTGATGACGGTTCTTCCGGATCAACTTCTAAGCTCTCCATTGTCGCGAGTGTTGCTCTCGGTGCCTGCACTTGTGTGGGCACTGTTATTGCTGTCGGTATTGTCGTTGATGTTGATTCATTTTCGAGAATCTTTCTTGGATCACCAATTTCAGCATTCATATAGACATTAGTGCTTGCATCACCTTTCGGTGTCGTTACAGTAGATTTTATAAATTGACTAGCACTCGGAGCTTGTTCAGCTGGTGGAATATCGATAGATAGTTTAGTGGGTTTCTGTAGATGACTTGATGGATAATCTTGATAAATATTGCCTGGCGCATGTTGTTGCGATGGATTTAGATTCGTTATTTCGAGGATATTTGTATAGCTGTTTGGTGAGCCTGGTGATGAAGGCCCCGATCCGAATGAGCTCATTCGATTACTAGATGAAAATCGTGTGACATGTGATGTAATAGGACGACTAGGATTGGGCTCTAAATAGTCAGCAGTCAGAGTATCCGTACTTCTGCTTTGTATAGAACTAGTGCCATTTGGCGATAAAGAGCTGTTTGGCCTTGCATTCACAATATATGAGCTACCTTGAATACCAGTATGTAATGTTCCACCGCCCAAATTGAGACTATTCAATTGAGCTATGTTCCTATTAGATGCATTTGGCACAGCAAAGTCATGAAGATTTGTATCGTCAGTATTATACGCTCTACCGTTTATAAATGATTGAAGTGTGTTGAATAATACATCAGCACGTTGGCACTTAAAACTAAAGATTCCAGGGCCTGTCTCACACCTCCTGCCAGCCTCAAATGTAAAGAAATTCGCATCATATCCATATCGTCTCAACGATCCAAGCGACCATGATATAGGTGCTCTGTTCTTTCGATACAATATTATGTCGTTTCCTGGAATTTTTGACGTTGATAAAAAATGTATGAGAAAATGTGAAATAACATGATAATGATAAAAAGAAAGAAACAGCATACGCAATAAATCATTGTGCCTGTACATGTATGTCTGTTTGAAAAGTTCTTACCATTTATTTCAAGTTGTGAATTATAATACACTGAGTCGTCTGTGTCTGCAAAAATAACATCGAAGCGATTTGGATGATTATTTTCACTTACTTTACTCTCGACGCAGCCCATTGCAAAATTTTGCATACGCAATTAATTATTTGAATTTATCATGATTTTGTATCCTTCTGTAAGTTCCAGAATTATCAAAAACTTTCAACTTATATGCTCTAGCGTATGTTTAACGAAGTTGTAGCACTTTTAGGCTGCTAAATAATAATAAATTCTTGAAAAAAAAATTCTTAATACATGGAAGATTCTTTTGAGGAATTGAGGAAGATATTTAGCTCAAATTTTGTAATAAAAATGAAATATCAATTAAACATCACTTAAATATCATTTTAACAAGTATTTAGGCCTTTTTTATTGTATAGAAAATTAATTTTATCAACAATTATTGTGAATTTTTTCAATACACTTTATCAACTAACTCTATTTCCCCTCCTATCCCTTCTCTTTTTACGTGCACTCGATGCTTGTGTCTATGGGTATTTATTCTTGTTTTTTCTTTGTGTCCATATGATTTTATTTGGTTTTAAATGCATTTTTATGAAGTTTTCAGGAATTCATTTTTCAATTCTTCAAACTCACATTTGAATCCAAAGATTGTCAAATATAAACTTTATAATAAGTTAATCTCAATTCGTGATAACAATGTCTTTGTTCAAATTATGGGGTGGGATCCACACTAAATTACTAATTTGATAACTCCAGGTGCAAAAAGCTATAGCTACTAATCCAAATAAAATCAAAATTATTAGGAACCAAAATGTTTTACTGCTAAAGAAACTCAGGCATTTATGCTCATTGCCACTTTCCAAATCCAAAGTATTGTTTTTGGATTGATTGGATTTAAAATTTAAAGTTGATAAATTAGTTCCTTTTATGCTTAATGATCCAATAACTATACCGGCAATTGACATCTTTTAAACCAATTAATATCCGATAAATTTTGTTTGATATTAATGAACAGCCCTAGTCTGAAATCTAACTTAAAGTGCCAGCTTTTTTAATACTTCATGTTTAAAACTCTTTAGGTACTTGACTCATAAAAGTTTTGAATCTAATATTGTCTAATATATAAAAGCCCAACTCACTGATTCACTGACTCTGGAACGGAAGCCATGTGAAGACATTTGTGAAGCCGTGTGAAGACAAAAATTTAAGGAGTGTTGACAAGGTGGTTGTCAGGTGGGTGTGGGTGTCAGATGTGGGGTGGGTGTCAGGTGGGGGGGCAAGGGGAGTGTCAGGTATATTTTGTGAAGCCGTATGAAGCCAATGATTTGAGGGGTGCTGACAAGGTGGGTGTCAGTTGTGGAAGGTGACAAAGTGGGTGTCAGGTGGGGATGGAGGAAAAGGGGGTGTCAGGTTTATTTTATGAAGCCGTGTGAAGCCAATGATTTGAAGGGTGCTGACAAGGTGGGTGGCAGTTGTGGGGGGACAAAGTGGGTATCAGGTGGGGATTTGGGGCAAGGAGGGTGTCAGGTATATTTTGTGAAGTCATGCAAAGCTTTGTGAAAAGACATTGTGCATTTCGGGGGAATTAAAGTTTTAGTGGGATTAAGGGGGTCCGATTTTGAGAGGGTTTGTGAAGACATTTATAAAATTTTTGTGGGATTAAGTCCGAGTTTAAAGAGGTTTGTGAAGCCATGTGAAGTTTTGTGAAGCTATTTATAAAGTTTTTGCGGGATTAAGGAAGTCCGAATTTGAGGGAGTTTGTGAAGCCATTTATAAAGTTTTAGTGGGATTAAGGGGTTTCGAGTTCGAGGGGGTTTGTCAAGCCCTGTGAAGTTTTGTGAAGCCATTTATAAAATTTTTGAGGGATTAAAGGGGTCCGAGTTTGAGGGGGTTTGTGAAGCCATGTGAAGTTTTGTGAAGCCATTTATATAGTTTTGTGGAATTAAGGAATTCCGAGTTTGAGGGGGTCGTGAGGTTTGTGGTAGGATTGACCTTAAAACATTATGGTTGTTTGCGTCTTACAGTTATTTACATAATAGTAATCAAATTTTAACCCTGATAAGAGGCGCCACGGGCGTCTCCAGATAGCCTAGTATTATCATAAACATAATACAGAAAGTAATTTTCTAGTTTACTAAACTCACAATCTTTGATCAATAGAGTCTGTTTGAAGGAATCGTGACTCAGCTGACCCATAGATATCTAATATAGAGAGATCTTTAGCTTTTCGTTTTCGTTTGTCAGTCATAATTTATTGTTAAAAAGATGTAATGATGCATATCGAGGGCCTGAGTTGACCCTTGTAATAATACGAAGCATAACAAGCTATCGACCTTTAAAAAATTATCTCCATAATTTCTAAATGCACTTTACTCTGCACTCAAGGCTAAGGAGACTGCTATACTTGTATATTCACCACTCAATTTCCAGAACGTGACCCTTGCCGCGATTTATGTTTTTTTTTGAACATTCGTTTATTTGTTATTTTCACTGTTTATGGATGAGATGAAGTATTAATCTCAATGCAGCAGCAAAAGTAAAATGAAAAACTACCCAATTCAGTTGAGTCCATTAAATGCCATTAAGGAAAATGTTATTAAAATTGAGTTACTGGATGTTACCATAAAGATCCAGTTGTAACGGTTTTTAAAATTTCAAATCAGTTCTGGACATTGAATGAACAAAGTTGAATCAAAATAATTCGAAAAAGTGGAAAAATAAAGGATACAGACACTATAATTAAGTGTTTATAGTCATTGGATATTATAACCGATCTATCAAATCATATAAATAAATTAAAGTAGCCTATTCGATGTGATTTTAGACGAATTTCGAGAATAAAGTTAATATTTACAAATTTAAAGTGAACAAATTCTCTGTTTTCTAATCTTCAAAATCCTTATCAGTGATAATTATTAAATATAATTAACAAATAATACATGCTGTGAATCACGAAATGAGATATGGAATGTGAAAGTAAAAACCTTGAGTTAAAAAATTATGTTGATGAAAAAATGGAAAATGGCAAAGTAGAAAAGCACATAAATGGTAGTCTGGACAAGGAAAATGCCAATCCAAATGCAGAAAAAAAAGCTACACAAAGAAGACATGATGAACCAAGCGAGCTCAGCTTTGAAATTTGTATGTAATTTGTTAATTCTCTTTAGTTGTTGTTGTTGTTTCCTATTCAAATCGATGAAATCATCAATGTATATAGCATATATACTAATTTTTCGTAACTTTCCTTAGTTCCCGAAAATGCAGAGGAGAAAATTAAGAGACAACAAATTGAAAAGGCACTTGAAAAGGACTCAAATACGACTTTAGAGCAGTGGAGGCTTTTCGCAAGAAGTGAATATGGCTTAATAAATGGTTCGTACACGTAGAGCAATGACATCACTAGCTTAATGTTTGTTTTTATTACCCCATACATTGTTTTCTCATTGTAGACGATTTAAGACAGAAGGTTTGGCCTTTATTGGTAAGCGTTGATGTTACACAATGCGATCCAGTTCCAACGTTAGAGGAATTAATGAGTCATCCAGAGTATAATCAAGTTGTCCTTGATGTCAATAGAAGTTTAAAACGTTTCCCCCCAAGTATAGCACCAGCGAAACGTCTAGCTTTACAGGATCAATTAACGGCTATAATATTAAGAGTTATAAGCAAATATCCACATCTTTCGTATTATCAAGTAAGATTCTCTTTTTATTAATTAACTAGATTCCTAAACAATTCATTCCTTCATTCTAAGTTCATTTTTTGGTAACATTTGTATTAATTAATTCCCTATTAATCGAAAAAACAGAGCTCTACGAAATATATTTAGTATAATTAAATAACAATAAATTTTGACACACATATCCTTTCTATTAGGGATATCACGATGTTGCCGTAACATTCTTACTTGTGTGCGGAGACGAGATTGCATTCCACATTATGGAAATCTTATCGACCGATCATTTAGTGGAATGCATGCAAAAGACTTTCGAAATTGTACAAAAACGTCTATTATTAATTTATGCTATCGTCTGGCGCGAGAATAAGGATTTATACGAATATTTAGAAAGGTAAACTATATATATTAAAAATGGAATAGATTAACGGAAGCAAGAAGTTGAATTAATATTTTTTAAATACTCGTATTATTACTTTTTAAGACTCAAAATTATTTTTCTTTAAATACGTTAATTTAATTTAATTTGCTGGTTCATTCTTCCGTACTTCCTCGTCTGGCTTCTTTTTATCGTGATATCTGAAAGTAAATGAATTAAATTAAATTTTATTTTATTTTGTGATTTCATAGGAGTCAATGTGGACTGTTATTTGCACTTCCATGGTATGTTACGAGACATTTCTATACTACTGTTGGTGAAATTGATTGGGATGGAGTTAACGGAAATTTTGATTTTGAAATTTATGCAACATTAAAACCATACAACAGGTTTTTAAGAAAATTAACGGTTTCTTGAAGTTTAAAATTAATATTTTAAAACCATACAATAATTTGACTGTTGTATGGTTTCAATATTGAAACATTTGTATTGTTCTCAAACACATGCCAATCAATTTCACTTCCACAATTCTAATAATCTACACAGCAACAAGCATTAAATTATAAAATTCTACACACCAAACATCTGTCAATTCTCATGAAAATAGGTACTTAACATGGTTTGGTCACAGTTTAAATCAATATCGTTCCGTAGTTCGATTATATGATTACTTTTTGGCATCGGAACCGTTATTGCCATTATACGTGACAGCGGCAATCGTGCTTTATCGCGAGGAAGATATTTATCGAGAAGAATGTGATCGAGCATCACTCCATTGTCTCTTATCGCAATTACCTGACGAATTGCCTTTCGAATATCTATTAATTCAGAGCGAGAAGCTTTATGCGAAATATCCGCCACATAATCTTCATAAAGATATTGAGAAAATTATCGAAAGAGAGTAAGTTATTAAGTTTTAGTGCCAAAAAAAGATTTGTGGTAATTTTTTGTGAATTCTTATGTGACAGACAAAAGATTCGAGAGGAAGAAGACAAAGTATTTGAGACAAGACGACAGTTAATACAGAGGAAGAGACAACCAGTGCCAACGCCTCAACCATTTATCTATAAACTTATTCCAAGAAAACTTATTCTTCACCGAAGATCAATCTTTGTCTCGACAGCATTTATTGTGATCGGAATATTTGCATATTACTACAAGGCACACAATAACATCAATGTAGACGTTATCAGATGAGGTTTACTGTATCAACCGCTTCAACTTTATCATAGATTTTTATTGAAATGAGCTGACACTTTTATGGATCTTAAAGTAAATTTTCTTCTTGATTTTATATGACATTCATTATTTTAAATGCTGGTTAACTTTGTTGTTATAGACTTTTTTTTATAATACAATATTTTAAATGTGATTTTTGAGCGCATTTTCTGTTTGCTGGAGATACTTTTTTAAGCTTTTTAATGCGATACAGCCACTTGAAGTGACTAAGGAATAGATTCAATTGGTTGAACTGTTTTATGAATTTATAACGGATTTCTTTTAAAAATGTTGAACTATGATTTTGTTTGAAATTTTTTTAAGCGGTTGAATTTTTAAAACTCAAATGACAGTTATTTTTCAAATTTTAAATGAACGTTATTCTTTGCAAACAAAATGCGCTTTTGACGGTTACTCATGACCACATACTAGTTTTATAAACTGTAATTAAATCTTCCTTTAGAGTAGGAAAGAAAAAAAAGATTTTATGAACCAAAATTAAAGATGAGAAAAGTGCATTCTAGGAAGATTATAGACGAAATATATATAAACATAACTTAATAATGATGATTGAATAAATATTTATAAAAAGTTTCTTTTGGAAAATCAGAAAATGAATATAGAATGAAATTTTTAAATGTGAGGAATAAGCTGGTTTTGAACGAAATTCTTCAATCTTGACTTTTGTAGTCAATTAGCAATAATTTCCAAAATTATAGGCATGCAAAAATTTATTAAGCTTTATCGTAAACACAATTTTAATTAAGGTAAATTAAGCAACGCTAGAAGTATGAAGTAATCCTCTATTTGTTATGTGTAAATAATCACCTAAATTAGCTAATCAATAAAAACAATAAATAAATTTCTAGGTATTAATGCTTTTCAATTACAAAATTTTATGTAATTTATTTCATTTAACAACAAATTAGGTTGTTTAAGTTATAAATTATGCTAAAATGCTTAACTCAGAACCTTACAAATTATTTTGTTTTTGTAAACCTTACAATTTTCAAAATATTTTGACTGTTGTAAGGTTCTGAATCGGAAAACATTTGCAAGGTTCTCAAACATTTAATCAAATTTCAGTTTTAATATTTTTTTGCAAAACCTTAACAAACTTAATGAGAACCAAAAAAGAAAAGAATATGAACTTTATGTACAGTCTATAGATTATAGATGATGATAATGAAGTGCAATGGAAGCTAATATTGTTAATAATGAAATTTAATGATTATAACAAGAAGCTTCAAGGCATAACACATACACGAATGGTCAATAAAAAAAAGATATTAATACGAACAATATGTTCATGATAGTTTACTTTTTGGCTAAAGCGAATCCAACTCCAAGTAATCCTCCTAAAACTAACAAAGCACCACCTGCTATTGCTGCATCTTTCTTAAATTCTTTATTTAACTCTTTCTCAATATGTTCCTATGAATGAGACATAAAAAGGCACTTATAGAATATCTATTTCAAGGTCAATGAGCATGAATGACTTACATCTAGCAACATAACTTGCATATTATTTGGTTCGATTTCGAGAAAGGCTTGTACGTATTTCTGAGCTGTTGTATAGTCCTTCATTCTTGTATATGCTATAGCTAAATAATAGATATGGTCTCTCTTGTTGTCAGGATCATCTTTGCATAATCCTTCAAATATTTTAACTCCATTATTTATGTCTGCACCATATTTTGATCTCACAAGACACCAAGCATATTCAAATTGGGTCTTAGCAGTCACACATTTCTTATCTTTAAGCTCTTTCATATACACTTTCTCGAATTTCTGGAAGAGTTAATATTTTGTGGATGTTATGACTCATTATTTTGGGATCTTTAAAATAAAGGAAATATTGTGAAATAAATTACCTCTAGCTCTTGTGGCGTTATCGTGTCATTCAGTATCTCTTCCATCTCCTTTGGAGTCTCCTGCTTTCCAAATGCCCCAAACATACAGTTAACTTTGTATTTATCCTGCTTTAATTAAGATTTAATTAATTTTAAAATGTTTTGCAAAACTTTTTTTGCTTAATACGAAAAACAAGGGCGCGCAATACTTTGAGGAACCGATCAAAATTTGGTACTCAATATTAACGGCTTTTAAAAAGTTCAAATAGTTCAAGGGACAAAAAGCTATGAAAATTTTAAGAAAATTGTAAACATTAAAATTAATTAAGTGAAAAACGATGGAAAATTCATTCTCAGAGCACTCTAGAACGTCTAGTTATGATAATTTACAGACAGACAGCAGTGATTTATCGAAAGTTGCCAAAAATATGTTCCAGAAGACAAAGGATTACCTTAGTTTTGAAGTATGTTGAAATCTATGAAAATTTCTCCCAAAACTAATGCTTTTTCCTATTTACAGCTATCGTCCAACACACTTGATTATGAATTACTTGATAAGATGAATCAGACCGTAGCAAAAAATATCGAATTGATGAAAAGGACATCTGAAGACGTTGTAGTAACAAATGAGGATCTGAATCAAAAATTCCGTTAGTTCTATGCTGTAAATTTGTCTTTGTAGCTGTAGACTAATATATTTACATCCTTACAGGTGATCTTGAGCCGTTGATGAAGGAACTGGAAGAGATAGAAACGACTGTCAATAAGCTGGAAAATGCAGCATATAGACTTGATGCCTATACACAAAGACTTGAAGAGAAAATTAATGAATATGTTGTCCAAAAGCAGCAACCAACATAGAACAAAACAAGTTAATTCCATATCAAGAATCTGTTATTATAAGCTATATTTAGATGTATTATTAACTTTCATGTGATTACTTTTTGTTACTATAAATAAAATTAAGCTCGCTATTTATGCTTCAAAAAACAAGAAATGGACAAACGGAATTAATGATTCATTAGACAGTACACAGCAATGCGTGTATAATTGATAGACCAAAAGTATTTATAGAAATCAAGTGGCGACATTCAAATTCGGCGCCTTAGAGCATTGCGATGTGTCATTAGTTCTATAGGTGCATAAATTATTTACTAGGGGTTGTTTTTTCCTACCTTTAGCTGTTTACTTACTTTCTAAGGAATTCTATGCTCGTTTATCGAATGAATATTATTATGAGTCATGAAGAGTACTCGAAATGTCAAAGGGCGCACATGCTATTCGAGCGGAGTGAGAGAATAGTAAAGAAGACGTTGTTCAAGTTTTGAACGACGTGATATGATACGCATTTTTCAAGCATGAAAGTCTTTTGATTGGATGAAAATTTTGAATTACAAAAATAACGGGTTTCAAGAGTTTAAATTTAAGAACCATACAAATTATTTTAAAAACTGTACAACAGTTTACAACATTTGAAGGGTTTTCATCGTGATTTTCAATTCAAATCGAATAAATTCTTAATTACTGACAAATCTCAAAACCTCTATTGCTATTTCGTATCTTATCTTGACATCCAGTTTGACAACCAGCAATCCAATATGAACCACAAACTGCATGACTCCATCAAAATTCGTTAAAACTCTCACGATAAAAGCAACATACAATACTATGGCTTGTTTTTGGAGGGATGATATCCCGACCTAGTTAACAAAAATGCTAAGGATGATTCATCCTATTTGTTGATGACTCAGTATGATCCAAAAAAAGAGAAAGCTTTGGTCTACATTACCAAAAAAGGATAATTTTCTCTCGTTCTGCCGGCACACGATGTTCATTTGTGTTGGTTTCCATTCAGGAAAGCATAACAAGAGAGAAAGTTTTTTTTAAGGGGTGGCATGGGCTGTGAGCTTGGTGGAATGGCTTTCACATTATTGCTTTCAGTTCCTAGAATTCGACGATGAGTCAAACATTGAATGGAACAAAATCATGAGACAGTCAGGCGAGGATGTGAGAAAAAAGAAGGAGCATGGGAAATTGTTTTTATTTGTAAATTTGCTTGCGAGGAAAAAAGGCGGTTGTCAAACATGGTACGATAAGTGTAGATCCAAAATTTATGATACGAATGCCAAAATTGCTTTCTTTTTTGTGCACGATGAAATCATCAACAGTTCTAAGTATTAATGCTATAACAATTCTTAGTATCAATCCAATATTATGCGAATGTCCTTAAATTATTTCCTATGAAACTTGCGAGTCATCCCTGAATTACTGTTTTCAAAGCTTTTCTTTTCTTCTCAAACATAAAACTTCATGTCGACATTCATGGCATGCAAAAATTTATAAGATTAAGCGCGATTTTGCAACTCTTCATGAATCCCATCAATCACATTTACAATTGAGCTTATTAGAAATTCCAAGCAGTTTGTTAAATGCAGGGGATTTGTGAATAATTAAGTTGTAATAATTGTGAAATAACTTTAAATTTTTAATGACTTTTTGAACCAGACTAGGGTGATTTTTGGTTTTTATAGAAGCTAATATAAGAAGTTGAGCTAAGGAAGTGATACGAAGTTTTCAATTCTAACGAGCGAGGATACTTTTTGAACTTGAATGTTTAATTTGGTTAAGTTACTCTTCAAGTCAAAAAAGATTAAAGCTTTACAAATATTGAGACTTTTTGACTCCTAAAATCCAATTTGGATTTATCAAAGTTTAACAGAATTATCTTCAATACAACAAAAAGCTTTATACCGGCAAAATCAACAATTTTATTCAATATCAAAAATTCAAACAAAAATATCGATTATCCATAAGCACTCCCCACATTCCATGTATACATACATATTATAATCGAGTAACATCATGTCAACAGAAATATTAATTAAATATATTCAATTTTGGTTCCCACCAATCTACTTCCAAACAATAATCATTAATATTATACATAAAATTTGCATTACACCGAGTTTAATCGTAAAAAGAAATTTTCGTGGATTTTTCTTCAAACGCCCTTGATAAACCTTTTGTGATATATTCAAACCGTGGATTTGAGTGAGAATAAGGATATTAAGCAATAAGTTGGCTAATCTGCGATACAAACTAGCGACTGATTTCTAACCCTCGACGAAATCTAATTTCGTTCATTACTCAAAGTGGAGTAATTCATCAACAGTTCCAGGATATGATGGAAAAGCTAGCTCTACAATCTAGCCACAGATTAAAGCACTAAACATTGACTCGATTGCTGATTACCTAAAGTATTGACAGATCTCTTAAACGACATCTTACTGATCAATACCTAAAACCAAGTTAAACATTAAGCATTCTCCCGACTAAAACTCCACTCCTTTCGATCTTATCTTCAATGTTGCTTTCTCAAAAAACTTCTTTTTCTATATTTTGGGAAGTTTTGAACTTCTTTAATCTGCTTTAATCCCCAAGAACAATAAAAATCCGAAATTTCCCAAAATAAATGTTTTTTCTTTAATTTATATAACTGGTTTTGCAAACGGTATGAATGTATAAGGAACAATTTAAAATCTTTCGTTCCCAATTATGCTTCCGAAAAAACGTGATTCCTTTCAACCTAAACGATAATTTATTATATAGTGCGAATAATTTATTCAATAAATTTCATCATTTCCAAGTTGAAGGTCACACAATAATCATTTACATCATGTAGTAACGTTAGTTTGACTGTCGCATTAAAATGACTCATTAACTCGTCAAATGAAATTTCCTTATGAAAGAATTGAGAGTTGGAAATTTGATGAATTAAGATTAACGTATTTAAAACCTTATTAAGTATTAATTTGTATTGGTAAGAAATTTAATTGCTACATCTCAGTTTGTTTAAGTTGCAATTTGCTCTGGGAATTTCCCTACAAAGATTTTACTTATCAATTAAATACGTATTGAAGTCTCAAATTGATAAGACAAAAAAAAACGTGTTTTCGTAAACAATAAAATATGATAGGAAATTTTTATACTCTATTTTTATGTAATCTGTTGTAATCTGCTTGGTAATCCAAAGGATTTAATTTGGAGCGCAGAATTCTGAATGTTTTTGAATATTTTGAAAAAGAGGTTAGGGTCGTTCTATGACGACGATCAAAATATGGGATTTTACAGACAAACCATTCATTCTTCCCACCTGACACAAATTTTTGTTTCTTCTGTTTTAATTTTCTTTACTTATCTGTGGACTTAAAAGTTGAATAATCATTTAGTTCAAAATTTATGAACAAGGTTTTTTAAAAATTTAAAAATGGAAATTTTCATAAATTTTAAGAATAGCAATTTTCATAAATTTAAACATTCTCTTTTCAAAGTTCAAGTCATTAAGGATTTGAATTTCTCTGATAAATCCTTTAAAAATTTTAAACTGACAATTTTTTTCCATTAAAATTCAAAATTTGAACCAAGGGTGTGGAACTGAAGAGTTACATTTTGATCATTTTTGATCATTTTTTGATAATTTTTGATCATTTTTGGATCATTTTTGATCAGTTTTGATCATTTTTGATCATTTTTGATCATTTTTTGATCATTTTTGATCATTTTTGATCAGTTTTGATCATTTTTGATCATTTTTGATCATTTTTGGATCATTTTTGATCATTTCATCAGTACCACACCCTTGATTTGAACACAAATTCTAAAGAACCATTCAAAAGTCAATTTTATAATTTTGATTCGTAAATTCTCAGTTCAAATCTATTTTTTAAAGTTCAAGGAATTCAATCTGAATTCCAAGAAAGCATGCTTGATTTAATTTATACCTGATAAGAATTTCATCATCAAAATAATCTCAGTAGACATTTCAAGTGATAATTTATTAAGTACAAATTATTTTGTCGCAAAGTTTCACAAAGAGCAATTAAAACTCTAAGAATCATCAAATTAATCAGTAATGCAGAGTCCTTTCAACCCTCATAACTTTCAAATCAATGAATTAATGGCAAAAAAGTTAATAATTTCAGGTAAGAAATATCACGATTGATCAAGATAAACAATAAGTCTCGAGTACATGCACTCTGTGTTATTATCCTTACAACAGAAAACAACATTATGAGTGGAGCATGCTCAAAAGGAAGAATGACATCATCCAAGAATATAACGTGATAGATTCCGAAACGAGAGAGAGAACCGTGAGTGGATAAACTGAATGAGAATAAAAAGGAACTAAGTATGTGTGAGTTATAAAGTTTCATACTTTCTAAGCGAGTAAAATAACGCACAGTTCGGCTCGTCAGTTTGATTTTATTTGGCAAACACATTATATCGAGCCTGAGGAGAGCGAGATTCTGTTTTTTTAATACTTTATATTCTTCTGTATACATCAACAACTTGATATGTTCTTCGCAAAGAAGTAATTTTTATAAATTCGCTGTTCTCACTCAGACTCATCGTCACTTGCATTTGAAATATTCGACTGTTTGGAGGTCAAGAGAATTATTAAACCATACAATCAGCTACACTAGCTTCTTAATTGTGAATTGACAAATTATTGACAAAAAAATTTTAAAAAGAAATTAAAATTGAAAAATTTGTGAAGTGCAAGAAAAAAGAATTGAACAAAAACAAAGTTAATTTTTATCGTTATCATTTAGTGCTGGACAGTTTGTGATTAGATAAGACAAAAGAGGACACATTTGCCGCTAATTTAATTTAATTTATTTCATTGAAACTTAAACTTTTTATTGATAAACTTTTGAGTTGAAATTTGAGAAATTTAAAAGTGAAAAAAATATAAAATTAAAAATTGGTGAGTAAAAATATTTAAATTCTTTGCCAATTGCTTCTCTTTTGAGTGTTTATCGAGTCTTGAATATATTTTTTTTTGTATGAGTGATCAGGTGAAAGTTTCTTCACTTGACATTTTATTGTTATTTTTATTTTTGCTACCTACTAATACACATTTATTGTCATTAATATTTGATAAATAATGAAGTTATGTCATTTATTCTCTCATGTCTTATAGTTACTTTATTTTGAATGACTCACTACTTTCAATGTTGTCTAGTTTTTTGAATAATTTCCACAAATTTAAGACATACAATTGCACGGAATGTCAATGGGTTGCTTAAAAATTATTTGAATTAAAAAAAATTGAATTTTTCAGTTGCATAATTTATAAATTAAATAAATTAAATTGAATTGAGATACAAAGCTAGGTTTGAGATTTCTAGGTTAGTCTGTAAAGCAACTTCCAACTTGTGTTAGGTTTTAGGACTGTTCTTGAGTCTAAACTAGGTTGGGTTAGCACTAGAAACCGATTCCTGATTTTAAACATTTCTCATAATTTTTTCAGTTTAAAGTTGAAGGTTAAGAGAATTTGGATGGATCGAACTAGACCTAAAATGTTATAATTCGATCTTTGGATTAATTTTTGTCTATTATTGAATCCCCGAATTGGATTTTGTTTGATTATCCCACCAATCTGAAACCCCATTACCGAGGGGAGGGGGGGGGGGGGGGGGAGTCAGCAAGAAAAGAACTATTAAGCAGTGTATTTGGGCTGTACCTAGCTTTTAAAATATTCTCATACATACACATTAGGGGCCATTCACTTATTAGGTCCAGAGGGGGGGGGGGGGTCAGCAAGAAAAGAACAATAGGAATTCCAGGAAATCCATTGTTCTTTTTTGAAAAATTACCGTTAATTTCGGACGTCATAAGTGAACGATCCCTTAGCTATATCCCTACTCTTTATCATCTCCCCAATTTAAACGTCACTTTCAAACTTCCCTGAATTAAATCAACTTCAATTACAATTCCATTAAATCAATCTCGTTGCTTTGCCATACTCATTTCCAATATCGCACAGAAACACAATTATTAAGAATTTATCATTTTGTGGGAGGCATGACTGGATTTTTTTGAAAATGATCATCTACACGTGTCCAAGTGGAGCTTAATGATACCCAACAAGAATATTTATTTTCCCAATTCTTTATTTATTTTTTCAAAATTGACACATCAATATATTTTGTTTATAATTCCTCAGATACACCTAATTTTATTAATATTAATAAATAATCGCGATCTCAGCTCGGGGTTTTCCCAACTCAGTTCTGTTCGTATTTTTTTTTCTTCTCTTTCACATACAATAAATATAGTACAAGTGTATCTACAAGCTTTAATGAAGCGTATTTGATCAGTTGTTGTTTCTTCTTCTCTCTCAAGTTCACTTGTGTGTCGCGCTCTCTGTTTTTGTTATTTTTCTAAACATATTACATTGCGAATACTGGCAATTAAGTTTAATTTATGACTTTAATAATCCAATTTGTATTTTGTAACGGAAAACCAAAATTTAAAAATTCAAACTTGAACAATAAATTTAAAATTTGAGAATTTTTTGTTAAAAACAGTTAATTGTATAAAGTTACAGTCTATTGCTTACCAAGATAACATCCATCATAAACATTTAGTGACTAATGACAGATTGATTACAAAAGAATCAAAGTTTCAAATGTATTTTTTTTTTGGATATTAAAGAAGTTTAAAAAAAATATAGCGACAAAAATAAGATAAACAAAAACAATGTTATTTATGGCTAATGTCTAGATTTAAGAATTATCGTGTTAACGACAAGCCTACAAGAAAATCTGGGAAACCCAAAAAGGTAGATTTTGGAAAACTTTTGATTATGTCAAGCATCTCGCGTATAAACAGCTCATATAAATAACAAATTTATAGTGTAAATTCAAATAAACAGTGTTAAAAAGGCTATAAGAAGAGAATGAAAAAGAGAGTCGAGTAGAATTGAATGAAACAAGCAAAATTTATTGACACACGAGCATCAAGACCAAATCAGTGGCAACAACATTCGTATAATCCAGACGATATTACGATTTCGGTATGTGTAGTCGTTCCGTCCATGTGTATGCATGCTATATTGTAAGCAATACGTATATGATTTTTAAACGATCATGCTTTTTCCTACCATTGTATTGGATTTGTACAATGCTTTGTAGCTAAACAAACTTCGCATTGATGTATCAGCAATCAGTTTCAGTTTGACGGTTCACGCTAGTGCTAGTACTAGTATTTTTCGTGCGTTATTTTATTTTTGAGATATACAATTTTTTTTGTTATATAGTAAAATAGAGATTTGTGTATAAAAAATCCGTATCAAATTATTATTTTTTGATTGTACGAAAAAAAAAACAAGAGTCAGTATAGACTTGAGTGGCTTAAAACATTAGGCAGAAATAATATTCTGAAGTGGTCATCATCGCTGAATGATATTTCCTTTTATTCTCTCTCTAAAAAAAAAATCAAATCAAATGCGCAGTAATTAAGTAGCTTTGGCTATTTCTCATAATTGAGACGGTAATTGAGCCTTTCTTTTTAGCTTTTTTTTTCGCTTATCGTGAAACACATTTTTTGTGGATGTGAACCCAAAGTGAAAGTTATTTGAACTCGTTTCAAGGTCATTGCAGAACATGCAACAACAATGTGTCTTTATCACTTCCGTAATCACTATTTTGAATGCTTTGGACGCTCCAAGTTGTACAAAATGGCTCTTAATAATGAAAGTTATATCCAACAAACTTTGTTATTGACAATATTCAAATCTTCTTTAAGGCGCAGTCATTAATAGGCATTTTCTTGTTTAGGAATCAATTTAATTAACCGGTTTCTTTCTTTTTTTTCTTTTCTTTATTATGTTCTTTCTACGCTCTACACGAGAATATTTCATGCACTTGCAGTAGATTCATACATAGAAGAAACAAGTTTATTATTTAAATATATAAAAATTAATATGCAAGTGATTCACAAATACTTATAACAAGATTTTTCGAATAGATGTAGAAGTAAAGTTTTGCAGTTTGGGTCAATGGTCTTGTTATCGACAGAAGTAGTCGTTGTTTTTAGCTGACAAACGTTAAAGTCTGTTGCTTGGTGAAATTCCTCGCCTATCAGAAAAGTAAAAAGTAATAACGCTGATTAAAAGTTCAAAAAAAAACGGTCAAAAGCTGATTGTATAAATTTTAAAAATTTAAGAATGACCTTTAACTTTGATTTGAAATTTCTAAGATAACGGACGAAAATGTAATACGTTTCCAAAGAACTTGAATGACAGTTTTTGATAAGGAATTGAAATTTAAGAGTTTAAAAATGATGAAATAAAGAAATTTGCTGAAAATTGACTCAAAAGTTTTTAACGGTTATTTTAAATTTGAAATGTTTGATGCTCATTTTTTGAACTTAAAGATTCAGAAAATTGAGTTTTGGATTCAAATTAAAAAACTATTGAATTTTAAGCTGAACTTGGCTTAAATTTCAATATTAGAGTTCAATTTTGAATTTTAAGTTCAATTCTTAATTTATAACGTAAATTCATTAATAATTTAAGTTTTTAAAAGCCGCAAAATTTTTGAAATTTAAATTCGTCTCAATATTTATTTTTTCCAAAACTTAAAAACCTCAAATTCAACAACAAGACCAATAATTGATTCCAAACTGCTGTTAAATGATTCAAAAACAAATAAAGCTTTAAATTGTTGCAATGTGTAGCACCAATTCTTCATTTTTATAAATATGAATTCAAATCAAATAAAACTGCGCCATTCTACAAAGTACATCTGTCCAAGACACAAAACTGCACTTGATTTTACTTTAATTTAGATATTTCATTTTCAAGTCCCATCCAAACAGACACGTTCGTACAAAAACAGGCAGCAAAAGGCATTGCATAACATTTAATTTTGTTTTCTTACTAAGTATCGTGATCTCTTTCCCTCTCCCTTCCACATTGATCATTTTTACTTTATTATATATTTTTTTTTCATTTTTTCATTTAATTCCTCTTAATTGTGTGATTTGAGCGTTTATAAACAAAGCAACAGAAATAAGTTTTTTTTTGCACGCTGCTTGTTTTTAATTTCGCATGTGTGTAAAATATTTTTAGAATAAACTTTTTTTAAGAACAATTTTTTTTTCTTGTTCTGTTTCTTCCTCTATTTAGGAACACAGACATAAAAAATATAAGTTTCATGATAAAAGAAAACAAAAGAGTGAAAATATCGATGAATAAAGTATCCAAATTTAGATTCCATAAAACTTTAGTGAAAACCCGTTAATTACATTCACGACAAACATTTTGGTCGGTTGATGGTTCGGAATCAATAAAGCAATAATATTTAATAATTTAATTGCGTGATCGAAGCATACGCGCAACTATAAGACATAGTTAAAATATATTATAAAGACTGTTAAAGTGTGCTAAATTTAACACAAAACAGAGTAAATCATTATTATTAAATATTAAAAAATGGACGGTCTTAATTTCGTCATGGATCCAAATGATAATCAAGGTACTTATTTATATTTGCTTTTTGAATAAAATCATTTTTAATGTTTTTAACGCTTTTGGGAAAATTGATGTTTGTCTGTCTGTCTGTTGATCATTTTGCCGCTTAATTTCTCTTATTTGAGCTGAATTTTTGTACTAGGTCAGAGATTATTCGTCTGATTATTCACTTCCTCTGATATTACAGGCTTAAAAGCAATGACACATAAGAATCAATTGTCGATTCTCATTTAAAAATGACAGTAGAAAATTTGAACTTGATTGACAGTTTTTTAAAAATTCAAAATTTTTGATCCTCAGCTGTTATTTTTCAAATTTTATTCGACCGTTAATTTTCAAATCAAATTCTCTTAAAACATTCCAACTTGCTACATCAACAATAAGCTTTCTCTAGTCACTCATGACTAAATATACACTAATTTTTAATGCCACGATTAACGTGCCACCGAGTTTTCATGGTCAATCCGTTATATACTTACTACACAGTCCAATGATACTACTTAGCATCTCTATCACACTTTATGATTCACCAAGCAATGTAATAAAAAAAAAATTTGTCAAATAATTTACGTTTTGCTAATGACTTGACTGCTCTTACATCAAATCATCTTCTTCATTTCTCTGTTATGTATCTCTCGCCAACTACAGAATGACTCATGCTTGCTTGCTACACGCTTATGACATAACATTATGTATGTTGTGCTTTTTAGGTCCGTTTTTCATTGAGAAATTTCAAAATTACTGGCTTAATGTTGTTCAACTTTTTCTTTTCTGGCTTGTCTTGATATGTTTTCAACCCATTTTATGTCTGTTCATCCTGTTTCAATAATAAATTACTTGATGCTGATGCCTTTTTTGTCAAAAAGGTTAAATTATAAGTCATTAAAACTGTTAATGTTCTGAAAATGAGTTCGAATTTAAAAGTGGAAAGTCCGTGATTGAGTTTTATCCAATTAGATGTCAATTGTCAATTAGAACATGATCAGTAATTCTTAGAATATAACTAAGTTATTCCTACGAACTCATAGCTGTCATACAAATTAACAACAATCTGTACACAATGCTTCTAATGTCTCCATCTCCTACACTGTCGACGCTCTACGAACGGCCGCAAATATTTAAATACGATATCAATTTCTATAGACTTAATAATATCACTGTAGATGTTCATAAGCAGCAAAAAATATACATTTGCATTGAACGGTCTCTAGATAGACATGGAAGAAAAAATATATAGCTGTTATTTAATATTGAAATTAATTTTTTTTTTCATTTCCAAGAAATTCACAGAATGTGTTAAAGCTTGTGTAAGGCAAACGTTGAATCAATACGTGTGCTGCTGAAATGTGTGAACTGGCTTTTGTTGCTTTTTTTGCACAAATTAGTAATTTGACTTAAGACTGGTTATAGAGATTGGGGGCAATAAAATGTGGTATTCTGAAAATGATTCTTGAACTTGATCTAAATTTTGGATTCAATTAAAGTTTTAAGGGGCCATTCACTTATTACGTAACGCTTATGGGGGGGGGGGGGTCTAAGATTTTGTTACGGTTCAAACAAGGAAATTTTTTTTTCATACAAATTTTGTTACGAGGGGGGGGTCTAAAAAGTCATTTTTTCGCGTTACGTAATAAGTGAACAGCCCCTAAAGTACTTCTCAAATTTGAATAATGAAGTTCAAATTTCAAACCCGTGAAATTTCAAATCTTACAAAACCGTTAAATTCTTCTTTTACTTTTTTGTACACATTGACATTAATCGATGAAATAAAACACCAAATTAAAAGCTTAGGTTCCGTGCTTGAGCGTGGAAGCTAATTTATGGAAATCCAATCAAATAAATTTCACGGTCTCACATAAAACATTTAATTCTTGGAAATTATTGAGAATTATTAATTAGAGGAATTCATGCTTAATTCGCAACAAAAGATGATCAGTATTAATTTGCTATTATGACATATTAGAATAACTTTGCATCTTAATCATAGTGTTAATTATTCAGCATAAAAAGTATTACATTTTTTTTCTTAAATTTAAACGCAGTGTGAGATTGTTCAAATTAAGTGATGAATATTTATTGCTTCATTTTAATTTATTTGCGATGAAGTTTGAATAATCTCAATGTTATTTTTGGAACTAGAACTAGCTAATAAATTGTGACTTTCTATTTTGTCATCATTCTTTAATCTTTTTCCTTTCCTCGTGTCCTTTTCACTCGGCGAACCATGAAGGCATAAAAATTAGAATTTATATGACACATTGCTTGTCAGGCATTGCATTTTGAGGTAATTAAAACGACTATTTTGTAAAATTAAGTATGCTCCCTTTACTTCCATTATAATCTCAGTGTGTGACTTGTTGAATTCACAATAGCTCATCTGAACATCTGTTAAATTAAGTATATAAGCTAATGGACATTACTAATGATGCATTTCATTAATCAATTTTGTAAATTCACTCTCCAACTAGCTCATTAAAATCTGCCGTTTTTTGCGCGCCTTTTTCTTTTGTTTGTGAAAATTTACGAGTCCGCATTTCTAAGATTTTCATCGTATCCGAGCATTTCTCTTTCTGTTTCTATACTGTACATTACTGTCCCCAGGAGAAATATTGTCACATGAGAAATAAGGAAGAGAAATAACGCATTTAAGTTGTCATAACAAAGTATGCAGAATTGCAAAAATTACATCGAGGCTTTTTGATAATAATATAAACAATTTCACTGGGAATCTCATTTAAACTCTATTAAGATCGCAATATGACGACTGCAGGAAATATTATTTGACATACGTTGATATGCGAATGTAAAACTTATTAACAAACTTGTTTTTTGTGAGTCGCGTCTAAGCGATATGGTGAAATTAATCAAAGCTTATCGTCTTTCAAATAGAATAATTTGTACATTAAGAATGGTTTGTCATCAAATCTCTTTCTATCCTAATTTGAGATCATTTCAAAAGCCTATCGTGTAGAATAGTCTGAATCAAAGTCATTCATAATCTCGTATCAATTTGTACTTATAAGATTGATTATTCATCAGTTTTAAAGGTTTCTCCTGAATTTTGTATTGACTTAATTGAACTTTACTGACCTAAAATTAATCAGAAATGATTGTTGTTATCTCTGACAAGTACGGTTTCCTTATTAAGTCAGTAGTTGAGAGCTTTATGACTCTTTTGTAACTTTTCGTTCAATAAACAATCAAAATTTCTAATCGTAAACATTATTTTACAATTAATGACCTAAGATTTGCTCACAATTATTATCAGCACCAGATTCAAACGTGTTGCTTTTAACACGGTCCTTATAAGCATAATTACTATATTTCTGATAAGTACTTGTTTTTATAGTCACTTAGTCAATTAATTAATTCTAAAATATAAATAATTACTCAAAATTCCCAAATGTAAACAAATGATTTCATTGGACTTCTGTGGTCTTATGTGCTTATTGAAATTGTAATCAGCAGACAATAACGTGATGTTTGTTACATAGATTTTTGAAGCGTGTCTGTGTTTATTTGATAACTTCTTTGTTGTGCTGTAATGTTTCATAAATTTTTGTCAAAATTCTTTAGAACGACATTATCACCAAAAATTCTTTTCTGCTGAATTTTTTAACCAAATATCAAATAATTCTAATCTTAACTTGCTGATAGTGGTTTTCATATTATTTGTGTGGTAATCACTTAATGACAATTTTAATGGCTGTTGGAAGAACAAGGTTATTTGGACTATCAATCAATAGCTACAATTTTAGTTCATTTGACATCTACAACTGCAAATAAGATCCATTGAATTATAGTAACAGATATTCCAGAGATCAATAATACGTCACAAAACTTCAAATCAAATGTCATTGGACTTGATCAGTTGAGAATTACCCAAAAATGTCAGGACTACATCAATCCACGTTTGGAATTCTATAAAACCTTACTATCCTGGGTTTATCCTTTCAATTGTAGTAAATTTCGGTATTTCCAGCAATAAATCTGTCAAAATTGATTCTAAAAGGAGGCAAATAGCATAATTTTCCAGAAAACCGGTTTATAAGATTCCGATAAAAATCCCAAAAGACCATAACAATCAGCAAGATTTGCGATATAAACAAAAAACACAAATTGACCATTAAAGAGACAATAGCTTAAAAATATCTAATTATAAAAGTCTTTGACACTGAAATTACAATTCTAATGTGTGCACTCGCACGATCATTTTCTTCCGGGTTAATCAGCACATCGCAAAAACTTTTCCTTTCATTAAACACAAAAGTGAGAGATTTATTGACATAATTCCCATGCCAAAATGTTTCATCATCGAGCAAAATATTTAGCGCATTCTTTAGTTTGGAGATCATGTTCTGGCATTTTTCAAATTTTCTTTTCGGGTTGCTTGGCTTGTTGGATAGAAGAAAACACCATAAAAGTTTATTTACGATAAAAGAATTTTTATCATCCTTTTGAACGAAATTCTTCAAATATTTTACAGATTAATAAGCTTGTGGGAAAATTTCACTTTTTCACCGATCTCAATTCAGAAGACAGGGATGTAGCTAGGAATAATTTTTAAGGGGTCTCCAATACAAAATTCAATTTTAAGGGGTCTAGTTCCCCCCATGTCATTTAATCTTAAAAGCTTGTAAACAATCACCATCTGAACATGCCTGATCGTTTTTGGCACAGCAATCACAATTTTTGCTTCTTACTTTTCGGGAGGTCAGTGTGGGCAGCGTTCTGTATTTCCGAGAAATTTTCATTCAATATCTTGTACATTTTCATTTCGCAAAATAAATTTTCTGTTGGACACGAGTCAAGAGAAAAAAAATTGAATGCGAGATAAATGTTCCGTTCACACTAAGCAATGTGACGATTGGTTTCGAGAGCACTGATAATATCTGCAAAATATTTGTGGAATGTGAAATTGTATCGATCGTTAACACTCATTTTCTCATTCTTCAATGAATGAAAAACAATTTCATTTGATGAAACATCCTTTGTTATTGCTTTAAGCATGTGATTTCGTGCCTCGATCAAACAATTCGAAACACATACAAAATAAACGTGCTTAATCGCTCAAGGTCAAATGCGGCTTTTTTATCTTCTCAACTCTTGCTTTTTTGAGGCACAATAAAAAAAGATTGTTTCGATTTTTAAAACAGATGTTCTGATGGATATGGATATGGATTGGAAAAAAAAGGTTATGAAAATGAATCATTTACATTTTAGTGGCGCTAATAAAACACGATATTATATTTACATTAACAATTTCAAAGGAATTATGTACATAATAAATGGTTGTTTAAGATTAATTATCAACACTTACTTAAGACTGCTTACTACAAGGGTTGGCATTTTCTTCTTCTTATTGTAATTGCTTATGAGCAACGAGTTGACAATTCGGACACTAATTATGAATGATTCTTAGTATTTTACTTAATGTGTTGACATAAGCTTCTCAAGAAGAGCAATTGTGAATTTTTCTGGGTATCTAAAGGTGATCAGATGCGTTGATCGTAAGCTGAACAAGTTCTTAGTATTTGAGAGGACTTTTTATTCGTTTTTGAGTAGTTGTAATGCTGGTACTGGCCGTAGATCTTTTTGTCTTTCTCTTCAGAGCTTTGTTGCGAGATAAAGAGCGGTTAGAAGTGGATTTGGGGTTACAGGATCGATTTTTCGATCATCAACAATACTTAATGCTCTTAGAGATGTGGATAGGGGGGACATGTTCAAATGTGGATCATCAGTGACCTTATTAGAACCAAGGGTGTGGTACTAATGAAATGATCAAGAATGATCAAAATGTAATTCTTCAGTTCGACACCCTTGATTAGAACAAGAGCTTCAATTATCTCCGAACAGATCAATTCAAACTTCAATTTGTAATCCACTTTTAACACGATCTAGTCCAAAGAACATCTAAACATGGATTTCCGGAAATCAAAATCTTTCAATAAACTCCCAAATCTCTTCAAGTAGCAATCAAATTCAATAGAAACAAATTAATCGAAAACCAAAACACAATCATGAACTCCAAACTTAAACTCTTTTGAACTCACTTTTCCTCTTATCGCATACGATATACATATTGACTTGGCAGGCTGCCATGTTTTCATCGAGTATTCTTATTACTCACTCTGAAATCAGATGGAAGGTCGTGGACTTGTCGATTGCTTTATTTTTGTTTAGAGAGAAGCTAAATGATGTCATTTTTATGTTTGTATCTTCTTGTATTTTTACACTATAGCTAGGTGGGGGATTATTTTGTAATTCAATTATCGCACATACATAAAGTGTGCAATTTACAAGAAAAAATGATAAATTTGTAAAAATGACAATGAAGATGCTGTCTTTAAGATTGGATTTACATTTCTTTTAAGCCTCAATGAGTCATGCATGTATTAATATGTCATTTTTATCCCAGCTACCGTATTTAAGTGGATGTGAAGGAAAGAAATTCATAGAAAAGAAATCATTCTATAATTCCGCGGTGCTGTTCATGCGAAGATCAGTTCTCTTTATGAAATATATAAACAATAAATCTTCACATGCCGTGACAATTTTTTTCGCATTATATGAAAAATATCTGTTGATCTGCTAAGTTGTCATTTTCTATTTCTGTTCCGTCTCTTTCTTTAATGTGAATTTAATTTATTTCTACTTATGGAAAGATTTATTTTGTGAGATGCACGTGCAGTTTTTGCGGAATCAAATGAGTTCAAAGGGATTTGCGTGAAAATATCCACGAAATTTACTTCTAGCGATTAATTAGAGTTGATTAGGGGTTGCTTACTTAGTTGACACAGTCTGATGGAAAGTCTTTTGTTGTAAGCTCAGCTCTACATGGGAATATCGTTACAGCCAGGGATTGTGAACTAGTGATGTCTTCAAAATCTAAATTATTTCTTTTCGAGGATAGCAGTCTTGATTTTGTGACAGTAGAAGAAGTCAAATAGCTAAGAATATTATTCTTTAATGAACATCATATCTGAATGACACCTCAAAGCAGTTCCTGGAAAATATTGTAACTTTTTTAATTGACAAAAGTTGTAATTGTAGTCTACACTATAATTTAATCATGCAATTCAAATACGGTCTTTGGATTTCCACGAGACTCACTGCTTTATTTACTTCCATTATGTACAAAACCAAAGCATGCAAACCTTTCATATTCCAATAGAAAGGAAAATTTGTAAGCTTTCGCTTTTTCACACCAAACTAGCGAATCACGATATCTCATGCTTTACATTCCACCAAAAAAATATGAAAATTTTCTTGGTTTTTCCTCAACAATCGATCAATTTTACAACAACAAAAAGATTAAACAAAGGAATTTCCACACGATATTGTATATACCTGTGTACAGTCTTCAAATCAGAACTTTTCGACGCTTTTTATGTTCTCATGCTTTTATAGTTTTCAAAAGAAAACTTTTTTGGTCGTTTATTATCCGCATTAAAATGAAATATTTGAAGTCTTGGAACTGGAGCTTTTTTGTGTGGCTTTACTTCAGCGATTGATTTAACAACAGAAAATATGAATAAAGTAAATAAACAGAATTCTGATTGTTAAGCGACTTTGCACGCGTGGGTGGATTATTAATGTTGTATAAGCTTCACGGGAACTAAATTTTGTGAATATTAGAAATGAATTGATGAATAAGAAACTAGATTGATGAGTAGGAAGAATTATTAGTTTTGAATGACATTTTGGTGGTTTTAAGATTGAAGATTGACGTAGTTTCAATGACATGCCTGGACATATGTACATAGGTACTCTATAGCTCGATCGGTATTACATAGTGCTAGGTATTGTCACCTCGTAGTCTAAGACGAGCCTTTATTTACGTTAACTCAATTAAAATTAAGTCTCAATTCTGGCTGATTTTACAATTTTCAAAAATTATTTTATCTCAAAAAAATAACGTCGTACGTCCTCTTACTAGATACTATGAATAATAATTCCATAATTGTAATACATAGAGTTGTAGTTTAAGACTAAATTATTACTAAATTACAGAGGGCGAAGTCGACTCGGATTTTGTATGGAAAAGTCGACTTGAGTTCACTCGACTTCATACAAATTTCGAGTCGACTTCGCCCTCTGCTAAATTATCATAAAGTCATTATCGCATTACAATTCATACAGACATAATTAAAGTTGAATCACTATCAGATAAAAATTAAATGCTAGACGCTCAGTCAAAACAGCAATAGTAAATAATGGACTTTAATGAAAACATACAGAATTCTGAATGGATAATGTGAAGTTCATGGAAAAGCAATGGCATTGCTAATGAATATTTTATTGAATGAAAATTCTTCAAATTCCTTACTGTTTTGTATTGAATAAACGAAACAGAGCAATTTGGATAAATAGTAGCGAGTGGCAGGATTGAGTAAACATACAAATGGTATGCAGGATTTATTGATTTTCTGCCTACACGTGAACACAAATTTTCGGCCGTGAACTTGATTTTTCTTTATATTTTTTTCATTAATGTTAATTTATACTAATTGCTGACTTTTCCTCTTTTCTTTTGCAGTTGACGGAACTTCAGACTTATCAATTCACATAAGTGATGTCAGTAAGTATCATAATTTGATTTCATAATTAAATCTACGCGTACGATGTCAGAGCAGAGCAGAGCTTTTTAATTCATTTAAAAACATCTTTGATGAAAACCTTTCAAATTTTTTCCACGCTTTTCATGAAAATTTCTACAAAAAAATTTTTTTTTTCTCAAGCTGAGGAAAAAAATCTCCGATTTGAGCGAGTCGAATATGAAAAGCCTTAAAAATAGACATAAGCAGCGAGAGCAAGTGAGAGGGAACCGAATCTCGTGAAACTTTTATTATTTTATGAACTCACGATTTTCTTCCTTTAGCGTTCTCTTATAAATTAACTGCTTGTGCTTGTTTTTTACTGACTGTATGTTTTTGTCTTGAAGTGATTCATTTCTAAGCGGTTGCGTTTTGCGACGTTAATTTGAGAACTATAACTGGGGTTGGTTGATTTAATATAAGATATACATCCAGGTCTCTAAGATATTCTCTGGATCATTCCTTAGAATAGCTATTGTTTGTTATTGGACTATAAACATTAAAATAGCCATGGAAGCTTGTATACCATCAAACAAATCCAGCTTTTCGGTAGATTGCATTCAGATAATCTGAACTTATCACAAGATATTCTAAAATAGACAGTTTATCATAAGAACCTTCCATTCGCTCTCTTAAGACTGAGCTAATAATTATCTCAATTGCGAAAGCCTGTTCGTCGTCACGACTAAAGATAACTCGATTTGGTAACACCTTATCATTGTACATGACTTCCAATATCTTTCGAGGCATCACCGAAATAATCCAAACAAGAAAGCGCGTCATTTCATTCATTGACTCTATTTTTAATCTCTCAATAAGAAAAACTGCGTTCATGCCATTAATCCACGATCACTTCACGGATTTTTTCTTTTGACGAAATTAAATTTTATATCTCTTCTTTTATTATCGTGATGCCTCCGAATGATGTCAACATGTGAATGAGAGATGAAGCTGGCAAGGGAAGATGGAGAAATGTTCTATTTTTCTGAAAAATGATTTCAAATGTCATCGAATCATGTTTTCATGTTTATGAATAAGCGAGTTTAAAGCTTAATTTACGACACCGGTACTCATAATATATTTAATTCTGACTGTCGGTTCGTCTTCTTTTAATACATTAGTAATCTATGGGAGCCGGAGATTTAAAACAACAATAATTTTCATCATCTTAAAGATTTCATTTCAATTTCGTTGGAAATTTACGTACGAGAATCGGAAAAATTGTCTGTGAATTTTGTTTATTTTTTCCTTCTTTTTCAGCTTTCGCTCTTTATCCAATTTTAACTGATTCATATTCTTTATTTTATATCGCATCTAGTCGAGGGGTCGGTCACTATATGCTGACAGAGAATATAGAATTTGAGATGGAGCAGAGTTCTGTTAAAGAATCTTTGAAGCTTTATATTGCTATTGATGATTTTGTAAAGTAAGGTCAATCTTAATTAGACGTCACTAAGGTACAACCCTCATAAAATCGGAAAAAAAGAGATAATTTTCTTTTTCGACCAATGCCGGTTTAAATGTCCTGAGTGATTCACACAAAGCAATATTTTCACGTGGAAATTAAATGCTAAATGGAACATTAAATGTGTTTTAATTAACTTTTATATTCTTATTATTCATAATTTTACTCTTCAATTTCATAAGCACGTTATTCAATTTGAGTGAGGGCGGGTGAATTTTGTATACAATGAACATTTTACGATTGAAATACAATTAGGAGAATAACTTGACGTTCTAGACATTCCATAATGTTTGCAGTGTTATGAAATATTTTTATTACTTTATATGGCTGGAAAGTTTGGGAACTAGGGTTGGAATATGAGGTTGCTAATGGAGATTGGATGAAGGTTGACAATTTATAGTCTCTCAACGAACAAAACATGATTCATCCTTTCCTAAATCATTAGCGACAGGAGGTATGACCAGTCTCTATGACTCAAATCAACTCTGATTCTATTATCCAAAATTATTCCTCAAAATTGTTAAACATGCCAATTTTACAAGCTCAATAACTGATCACAGTCTCACTTGAAATCCCTCGTACGAGCAATAAAAACTTAAATATCTTTTGAGGACATCAAGAAAGCTGATTTTAATATTCCATTTAACAAAATATGAACACCAAATAACCACAGAAATTGAGATGATGATCACTCATATGTGAAGTGGTTTAATTTCTAATAATTTTTCTCATAATTTATGGACGATGATTTTCAAACATTTTAAAATTATTTTTTTTTTCGTATTCGCTACTGTACGATGATGAGATGTAACATAAAATAGACAAGAAAAAAAGAATTGAGAAAAGAAAAATCTGTTGATACATAGGAAAAATTATTATATATACACTGGCTTGATCAGGGGTGTAGGAAGGTGAGATTCAAGTGATTGTTGTTGACTAAAGAGTTTAAGATTCTCAAATCGAGATTTTAAATTGATTAAGCTACTCTGAAAGATCAGTATGTAGTTGTTGCCAACACCCCTGTATCTGCTGTCAAGTTTCTCGAAATATAAAAGAGATCGACGATTCCTACAGCAAAAAAACAGCACTTTTTTCCACAAATACAAAAAAAAAAATCTTTTTTTTTTTCATCTTCAATAAATTTATTTAAATTGGGGATCATCAATTTGTTACTGTCTATTAGATTGGTCAAAGAATCAAACGTATTCGTTCAATATACGATCAACTCTAGCACGGATTCACGGAATTACTCCTCTGTATATGAAACAGAAGAAGAAAAGCATAAAAATAAAAGAGCTTGTATATTTTTTTTGTGCCTGTAGATTTTTTTCGCCGTTTGAGACTTTAGTATATTTCAGAAAATCGTGTCTTTTAGATGCTTAAATTTTCTTTTCTCCTTACAAAATAATATTTATTTTTTTTCGGTCTCGAGAGTGCGAGTGCTGTAGAGTAAGAAGACAAATTAGTTACAACTGGATTAGAAATATAAAAAAATAAAATTTAAAAAGTGAATTAAATTAGTATAAAGCAATATATCAAGCGGGTAATTAATTAATAAAAAAATATGTTAATGCAAGTGCTCTTAATTTCACAAGAAATCCTTAGCCTGACGTCAGTTTAAGATTGACTTTAAGTTCATGTTCGTCATCACTTCAAAAATATACCGAGACTTTCTGCTTTTACTCTGCCTGAAAAAATATTACTCGACATTTTGTGTGCATTATTTTGTGTAAAACAAATGTGGTGCTAGATAAACTTTGACGGAATGAAAGATTAGTTGTGTTCTGGATGTTCATGCCAAAAAAATTTAATTGGTTTTTTTTTGTGAAATGGCTGGCGAAAAATTATTATTTGTTGAAAATTGAAAATTCTTATTTTTAGAAATTTTAAATTCTTTTGAAATTTTACTTTTTGATTCCTTTAAAATCTTAAAATTCCTTTAAAAAATTAAAATTGGTTCAAAATCTTAAAATTTCAAATTTGATCAAAAATCTTAAAAATTCCTTCAAATTCTTTAAATAAATTTATTAAAGATTCAAAAGTTACTCTAGATCATTCTAGCTCATTTTAAATGAGAGTTTACATCTGTTTTATTATTTTTGAAGCATTAAAACTGAATAATTAGGTCAATTAAGCTACAAAATTTGAAAAGTTATTTGTTTGTTTACAAACTTTTATTTGACAATCTTTGAACATCCAGCTAAGGTACCATCAGATTAGAGATCTTCTTATGATCAGCGAGTAGTCAAGCGAGTTGATTGACAAATAAGTTTAGATCAGATAAGATTCAAATATTCCAAAAAACCTTAATTGTTCTATAGAAAGTCATTGAGATCTCAATGAAAAAGTTAATCATCAAGTGAGCTTGTTGAGCTAATCGCACAAGAATTGTTTATGTATTAAAGCACACAATCTGCGAATAAAAATGTGCGAGACTCTGTAAATCCATTAAACATTATTATTACATTATATAATTCAGAAATATAATGCAAATAATTATCCGAAAGTAATGAAGAGAGAAATAGCCAGAAAGGTGTGTGGGTCGAAGAAAATTGTAGAGAATGAGAGAAAAATTACAAATATTTGTGTTGTTGATCTTAAATCACTGGCCACCACATGAGAAGTTCGTCAGTACAGAAAAAAGATGTTAATGGAGTAAAACAAAAATTTCAAAGTCTAGCTAATACAGACTCGATTTTTTTTCACGCTATTTTTGTGAGCAAATCCTCATTGTTTAAAAATCTGGTTTAAATGAAAAAGAAGTGAACAATAAAATTAGAATCATGGAGGATTCTGTCGTCGACCAATCTTCATCATCGTGTGATTCACAAATCAGCAGTCGATTTGAGCAACTTTTCGAGACTACATCAAGTTCGACTACGGAAGATGATGAACATGCACACTTGTATCACAGATTTGATTCTGTAAAATCACTTATAGATGAATTGTACGACGAAGTTACTCACTGTGATACTGCCAAAGGTTGTTTACATAAAGAGCTCATTGTCAAGAATGAAGGTCAAAGTATGAGGATATGAAGACATAAAACATACGCTTACTATTCTAAGGGGTTGGTCATAAATGATGTTCATCCAAAATTAGGATTTTATAGGCAATCTTCATTTCCTCAAAAAGATAAACATTAATTATCAACAAACCTTAAAGAGTGATCAGTTAAATTTAATTCTGGGTTATTTTGGAAGTGATGAAATGTTTAGGGATTTCTAGCGTCAGACAATTTCTGAAAATCAAATGTATGTGTTATGTCCAAGGACTAAACAATGGGATTTCTGGACTTTTAAATTGTAAACAAAATAGTAGAATTTCTAAGAATCATGTTCAATTGAAAGATCTTGTCAAAATTACTACAAAGTTCCCCAAAAGCGTGTCTATCATAGTATTAGTCTTATTATCAAGTTAACTGCTCAATTCTCTCAACAGCATGTGTCAAAAAAGTATTATAAAAAGCTCAAAAGATCCAAGATAAAATATCGTTTCAATTAAATAATGTTTAAAACTATGCATGGAGTTTTAAGGCGCGATCAGCAATAAATTTGATTTGTCATGATGGCAAACAGTTTTTAGATTTTTCAAAATAACAATAATATTTTTATTTCATCGCCGGTCTCAAAGATACATCCACGTTTAAAGATCAACATTAACAGCCAATTAAAATCAACCAATTAACATCTCATTTCCATTTTTATCTTTTTCGCAGTTGCTGTAATTGAGAGTACAGATCCATCAGCACAAGGAATGTTTCCAAATGATTTAAATTCTATTGCACCAGTAGCAAATCATTCACCAATAAACGGAATTTCAGCAAATATGCCACCACAACAGTCACATCAGAGTAATGATACTCCATATGCATCCATCCTTGAACAGCCAGCATCAAAGGCACTTCGCTTTCGATATGAGTGCGAGGGACGAAGCGCTGGAAGTATCCCAGGTGCTAATAGTACATCCGATAATAAAACATACCCAACAATTCAAATTGCAAATTATGTTGGACGAGCTGTTGTTGTTGTTTCGTGTGTTACCAAAGATTTTCCATACAAGTAAGTTCCAGACTTGACTCCTTCCTGGATTCATGTTGATGGGTTTAAATCCATCAGAAAAGTATACAGGAAAGGGTTGTTAAATTCATTGCATTTCAGCGGTAGTTATCTACACCGTCTTGATCTATAATCACATTCTCATAAATTTCCCGTCTGTGCTTTGTTTCTTTTGTTTCAACCAGACCCCATCCCCATAATTTAGTCGGCAAAGAAGGATGTAAGAAAGGAGTGTGCACACTTGAAATCAATACTGATGACATGAAAATGGTTTTCAGTAATTTGGGTATTCAGTGTGTAAAGCGACGTGACATTGAAGAAGCTTTAAGAGTTCGCGAAGAGATTAGAGTCGATCCGTTTAGAAGTGAGTAGCTTTTGAGTCTATATCCTTATGGCAATTAAAATTTTCCTTTTCACAGCTGGTTATGCTCACCGTAGTCAACCATCAAGTATCGATTTAAATGCGGTTAGATTATGCTTTCAAGGTAAGTTTGTTGAATATGATGTTGTTGCTTTATGTTTTTGCTAATTCTTCTTTTTTTCGCTTCTTCCTTTCGTCCACATCATATAACTTATAGTGTTCTTGGAAGGTCAACAGAAAGGAAAATTCACCGTTCCATTAAAACCAATTGTATCGGATCCGATCTATGATAAAAAGTCCATGTCAGATTTAGTGATAACAAAATTGAGTCACTGTAATGCTTTCTGCAATGGCGGACAGGAAATGATTTTGTTATGTGAAAAGGTAATAGATTTATTTTTGAGTACAGGGGTTCTTTATTGCTGGATGGCTAATTGGATAGATTTATTCTTAATTCTGCTTAATTCATTAAAATTCTATTTAATAGCCGCAAATCTAAATTTTAATTAATTTAACTTTTAAATGACTCAAGCTGATTTTAAGGACATTTTAAATTTCAAATTAAGCAATAAATTATATTATTTAATTCAAATTTAAAATAGTCGTTAAACATTTAATGACCTTACTTTACTAAGAAATTGAATTAACACGCAAATGTTATGCAGATATCCATCTTAGTCATTCAACATTGACAGCTTAATTTAATTCGTTGTATATCCATTATTTACATGACCATTGACTTTCTTGTACAGGTTGCAAAAGAAGACATCCAAGTCAGATTTTACGAAGAAATTATGGTAAGTTTAATAATTTTTTATTATGGATATTTCCAGTAATGACACAAAAATGTATGTCCATTAAACAGAATCCCGAGGAGGCATGGGAAGGCAATGGTGAATTTCAGCATTCGCAAGTCCACAAACAAGTAGCCATTTCGTTCAGAACGCCAAGGTACAAACGTATAGACATAGCAGAGCCTGTTAAAGTAAAAATTCAGTTAAGACGTCCATCAGACGGCGCAACAAGTGATCCATTAGATTTTGAGATGCTTCCACTTAATGAAGGTAGGCGTAGTTTTTGGAATTTACAGCGTGAATTGAAGAAGCGATCAGCTACGACTGATCTATTTCAGCAATTACTCGAGGTTGATAATGAAGAGAAAGTAGAGATTATTAATTTTAATTCCGTAAATTCACTGCCGTTGCAAAGCAATAATAGCAATAGTAATGATAATTATACTGAGGTTGTTGTGTTGGATACGCCCATGGAAGAGGATTCGAAGCCAATTGTCGACGAAAAAACAATGCACTGGCTAGAAAATGCTGAGTTTATAATTGATGGCAATAATAACAATAATGAGAACAATCAAAATTTAATTAATCAAAATGAGGATGATAAGACATTGAGTGATTTATTAGAACAGGTCGCTGAACTTGATGTCATTTATCAAGATCATCAAATTCGTAAGGAAAATATGATCTTACAAAATGAATTAAATGAAATGGACCAAGTTTTACCAATGGAAGGTGAACATATGGAGACCGAATTTGATGATGCTGCAACTTATTCAAGCTTACAGAAAGCCTTTAAGCATCCAGTTGTGTTTACTGATGCACCACCATTACCACCAAAACCTGGTCAAGTTTCTGACGGTTATTTTGATTTGATCTTGCCACCAATTGTTATTAATCCAGCTACACCCGATTTATATTTGAGACGTGAGGATGAACGACTTCCTCCACTGCCACCAAAGCGTGCAAAAAAGGTTTCAGAGACAAATATCGATAAAGAGAATATTGTTGAGAATCAATCAATTGGAGAAGTTGACAATCAATCCTTAACTGGATTAGTTCGTAATAATTCAACAAAAAGTCTCACTCCACGACCACAGCAACAGATTGTCATAAAATCAGCTGATTTACGTCGCAGTCCATCACACAAATTACCACCAAAACCATCATCCGTTAATTCGACACCAACAAATACATTACCGAAGCAGAAGAAGCAAGGGTTCTTCTCAAAAATGTTCTCAAGACGAAAGAGTAAATCCGATTTGGATTCAAGTATTACAGATAGCATAGTTAAAGTCGAAACAGAGATGCAGTATGATGATACACTTGAGATTCATTTTGATTCAGACGATGTAAATCGAGCACAATTTGTTGTAGATTCATCGCCAATACGCAGCACAAAATCATTAAAGTCACCAAAGAAACAGAAACTTGGCAAGCCCGTTGAAAGGAGTGTATCGAGTGTGTCTGGAAAGCGACCACATCTCACGCCAGATATCATTCATATTCCTTTAAAAGGCGACAGTTCAACAAATTCATTACCATTACATCAAAGTGGCAGCGGTACTCACTTGTCATTGCCTGGAAATGATTTCTATGAGCGTGCAAGCACAGCCTCACTACATCCAATTGACCGTAAAACAATGAGTGCATTACAATTGGCAGATGTTCCCATTCAAGATGGTGATATGGAATTAGTTGCTATTGCTGACGCACAGAGTCTGAGAAATTTGTGTGAGAGTGGCGAGCATGGAATCATTTTAGATCCAAGTGTCGATTTAACCGAGGCTGAACATTATGCTTTATACACAACCTTAGCACCTCATGCAACGGAAAGTGAATTTGACGAGAGTTCTTGCTATTATCAACCAATTGAGGCGGGTCAAATACTTACGCCTGCCGAAGTTGCGCGACGGCTAGCTAATGATAATTATTAAATTTATATTTTTGTGTAGATTGAATTTTATTGTATTTCTGGGGCTGGTTTCTTTGGTAGGATATACTGTTTTGTATATCTGAGAAACCGACTCGCAGGGGTTGTTCGGATGTGATTTTTGACAATTTTTGGTGTATCCTTAATGGTAAACGTCACTTGCGAACTACCCCATTTGTATTTGTTTTTGATTTTCATCTCTTCACATTCATTCGAATGAAAAGAATCTTTCGCCATGTAAATGCAATGAGCGATGATGAAAATTGTTTTGTATTGGACATAAAAGAAACTTTTATACTGTCATTCTTGTTTTCCAAACATTGTGGAAATTAGAATCCAAAAAAAATCATGTAAAACTAATTGATAATTGTTGTTAAATTTTATATGAGAATCATTTTTTATAATACTCAAAGAAAAAAATCTATTGAAATCATATCAAGGAACGAATTAATAATTCAAAAAACTTTGTACTTTTATAGAACAAAATGAGATAAGACGTAAACGACATAGATCTAGTGATGATGCAGCATTAAATTATTTTAAACAATCGCCAGGACACCACATCGATCATCGTAAGTCATTTCATAATCATTTGCTCATTAAATGCCATTAAAATGCATAACCTTAATTGTCTTGTGTAGCCAATAAGTGATCAATGACGGAGTTGACTGATTCTGGGGAAATCCTTGGTATTCCCAAGCATTTATCTTGCAATTCTTGTTTTGCCTATTTTTCTAACTCCACCAAGATTTAATGAGGTTTAATCTGGTGACGTTTCTATTCTCTCAGACTTTTTTGGAATTTCCTAAAACTACTTGTTTTGGAGACGCTGAAAAAAAAAAGAGAAACAAGTTAACATTTTAAGCATACAATACTGTTAGGTTTTAATGATAAAGGAGGTCGTATTGTTGCTTATTGAATTTTATTTTGAGATTAAAGCTTGTCTAAGGAATTGAAATGTTCTTTGATTTTTCAAATTTCAATATTTTGAATCTTAAAAGTCCAATTAAATTTTCAAAATTTCAATTTAAACTTTTCAACAACCTGCATTGATCACTCACAAAGAGAACTGACTCAAATGTTTAAAGACATATCGTCCATCAGGGGCGTAGCCAGGGGGGGGCCATAGGGGGCCCGGGCCCCCCCCTACGAAAATCTGATAATTGTTTTATTAAGTATTTATAGAGAGTTAATGTAGAGGAAGTGATGAAAGAAATGTCAAAATCAGCACGAAAAATTAAATTAAATGTATGAATAATGAATTAAATATTTAAACTTATGAAGAATGAATATAGATTTAAGGTACAAAATAACGGTTTTTTATTTTCGAAAATGGGCCCCCCCCTTAAAAATTTTCTGGCTACGCCCCTGTCGTCCATAATACCAAAAATTATAAGAATTCTTGAAGATCTCCAACTTTAAGTAAACTTGAATTCTTCGTACTTAATTTTCTCGAACGAATCTAGTCAATTCCCTTTTGAAACATTTGCCGTCATTCTTGAATTTGGTTCCAAGACAAACTCATTATTAGTGATGGGTGTCCAATTTTTCAACATTTTGACTCATTTGAGATTAAATCCATAATATTTCTTTGTGAATGGCTGAATCATAAATTTTGTCACTATTTTGATAGTGAACTTGTATGTTGGTGAAGGAAGTAAAACTTGTTGAATTTGGTGGAAGTAAACAAAAATTGTTTTTTGGAAGTTTTGACTTTTCTTCGTTGAACTTCTTGTTTTGGTGGAGGTAATTTGAAACTATTTTGGTGTTGGAAGTGGAAATTTGGGAAGTATTAAATTTTGGTGGAAAATAAGGAATAGAAAATTAAATCTTGAGGCTTAAATTTTCAATCCTGAAAATTTGAAACCATTTTGAACTTTGAAGTTTGTTAAATTTCGAATCTGATAAAATCGTTAAATTTTAAATTTTGAAATATTTGAAAAATTAAACTTTATAATTCATTTATAATTAAGTTAAATTTTGAATAAAAAATGTTCAAAATATTTGAATTTCAAAATTCTGTTAAATTTTTAAATATCAAAAGTTCGTTAAATTTTCAAATTTCAAACTTATGTTAAATTTTCAAATATCAAAAGTTCGTTAAATTTTTCAATTCTAAAAACTTCCAATAATCTTCAATAATAATTCCAATTTTCCCACCAAAATTTAATACTTTTCAAATTTTAAAAAATTGTCTACAAACCCATTTTATTAGAAGAATTTTGTGTCAGGGATTATAAAAAAATTTTGTATTCAAAGAATTCCTGTCAAACATTTTTGAACAAAAAAAATTAAAACAAAAAAAGATGAGAAATTTTGAGACTTTTTTTATAAAACAAAATAACTGACCGCGATGTCAAAAAATGATTATTTTCATAAATGTACACCTTAACATGATGATTGAGAGCAAAAAAAATACAAAATGCGATAAAGTTAATAGACGACATTAAATACTTACTTTATCAATAAATAAATAAAAATACAATTACTAGGAAGTCTCTCCATACATGATTATACACACTTCTTTAAAATAAAAAAGAATAAAATTTTTATACTTGGAATTAAAAACAACTTTAAAAGGCTCAAATTGTTGTAAAATTATTTTTAAAAATGCCATTTTTTTTGTACTTGATGAAAAGTAGATCTTGTTCATCATTATAAAGTATTTTTGCTGGTCAATCGGAACTTATAAAAAACCATCGAAAGTCACCCATAAAATTTGTTTGTTGAAAGATTCAACTGGGGAAGAAAAAAATTTAATAACATAATTAAGGCAAAAAATGTGAATCTAATAAGAATTAATTGTCATTACCTTATTATGCATTCATAGTGCATGTAAAAAATAAAATCTTATTGAGAATCGTTAATTAATGAATAATAAATTAAATAAATTCTATGTAGTATCATACGAAATAAAATCCCGAGTCTTTTTCATTCATTTAAGTTGATTATATAGTCATGAGTAGCTTGGGGTGTGTCTAGGAGGGTTCATTCCCCCTTTAATCACAGATAAAACTTATTAAAAGTCCTTTAAAATGTTATTTGATCGCAGGGTCAATTATCCCCTAGATCAGGGCTTCTGAAACTGTGTGTCACGAAATGTAGGACGTCTATAGAGAATGTACATATTGTTCACTTAAGATGTCTAAACTCTGCTTTAGGGGTCGTTCACTTATGACGTCCGAAATTAACGGTCCTTTTTTTAAAAAAATAATAATGGATTTCCAGGAATTTCTATTGTTCTTTTCTCGCTGAACCCCCCTGGACGTTATAAGTGAACGGCCCTTTAAGGTAAATCGAAAAATCAGCTTCTGTTTCCAAAAAATTGACCCTTTTCTCTTAAAAAACCAAATAATAATTTGACACCCCTTCCTGATACACCCCTGATTAAAAGTAAATCTATAGAAGGTAATTAAATTATCAATATTGTAAACGTAAGTTTTATGTCATGTGCGTGCTGTTTAAAGATTTTTTTTTGCTTTTTTTACGTTTACACTTAATATGCTTTGTAGTGGTTCTAAACTTTATCGCACAATTTTTAAGCTGCTGTGAATTATGACTTCACGGTCTCTAATAATCAAAGATCTAGATACGTACTTGATAATGCAGTCATCAATCTTAGATCTAGATTTTTTGTGGATTAAGGGGTTTTTGCTTGTAAGTTGTGCGATGAAAGTTTCATAGTCGTGTAGATTGTACGACTTTTGTATGACCATTAAAGAGATATTATTCTGTTGCAAAAGTCGTGTACTCTGTGCGACTTATGTGTTTTAGTAGATTATACCCACCTTATCTATGAACATTCTTATTACACAAAATCGTAATTTGTGTGCAGTATCTGAATTTTTTGCTCTTACTCACTTTATATGCCAAATTAATGTTAAGTTGCGATATTCGTGTGTTGTGTGCGACTATAGTGTATTATATGGTTTAACTTACTGTAGTTGTGAATTTGCTCAAAACCGTTTGTAATGTACGATTTATGGTCGACAACTCATAAAACCTTAAAGTCTTTTAAGCTTAAATTTTAGATTAACAGTTTTTGTTGTAAAATGCTTCAATTTTGTATTTTTTGTGTGCCTGAATGTGTGTGGAACCTCTAATTTGACACTAACATGTAATCATTTAATCTCACGTTGCATTAATTCATTAGCAATTAAGTTAAATCGCATGTGCTTTATATTTTTTTAATTATTTGCTGTTTTGATTCATTAATCACGAATTTGATTTCATCAATTTAGAACAAAACTACGGAGGAGGCTTCATAGCTATCCAGGATCAAGTGAAAATTGAACCTCGAGATCAAGCATCGCCATACATATTTTATCGTATACCACAAGCTACCCCATCTCCAACACCATCAAATCAAAATCCAGTATCACCATCACCAATTTTTATGGCTCAAGTCAGTCCATCGCCTGCATCACCATACAATCAACAAACAGCTGTAAATAATGGCAATAACAACACAAATAATAATAATAATAATTTAGAAAGTATCCTGCAAAATCAACTCCAACAGCCGAGAACGCCCGGAAGTAACATATTCCAGCAGAATCAGCACACGAATCAAATGTTTACTCCAAACATTCCACCAGCATACACGATTGACACAAATGGAAACAACTCAATATGGACAAATAATTTAAACGGCTTCAACGGACCAACGACGAGTCGTGCAGCATTTAATAGCATATCAATGCAATCGCCACTGTTTAGTCAGCCATTAACTCCATTGACAGCAACACCAGTTTCAAATTTTAACATCAATAATAATAATAATGAGCCGAAGAGTAATTTTAGCAGTCTACTCGATTTAGACAGTCAACAATTACTCAATAATCTTAGTGGGGAGCTGAAGAATTTGTCGTTCGGTGACTTTCCAATGGAATCATTCTCAAATAAGACAGATAATGATCGAAGCAATATTAATGATGGTATCAGAAAATGATGAAAGCAATAATAAGGAACTCAATTTTTTATATTTATGTTATATGTTAATTCATTGTGGATTATCAAAAAATCAAGCATGATAATCGATTTTGTCAACACAATTTTTATCGTTCTTTTACAAATTGAGATGAGTGATTTTTTTTACAATAAAAATGATATTGTCGTTATGCCTTAACAAATAGATGCTTACATGCTTCATTAATTCTTATTTATGTGGCTTTGAGTTTTTTTCAGATTTTGTTTTGTAACTGACTTTTTGGTTTTGAATTTTATGCTTCTAAATTTGATGAATTTTCAAATTTCAGGAAGTCGTTAATTCTTAACGGTTTTTTTTATTTTAAAATAAATACTTTTAAAATGCAGAATTTCAGTAAATTTTTAAATTTAATATAAATGCTTCAAAAATCCAAAATTTTGAGTTGTAAGCAACGGCTAATTTTAACGGATACTCAAAATTTGAATTAAATACAAAAAACTTTAAATTTCAGATGACGGTTAATTTTTTAAATTTAATTATCAAGCTTTTAATGACTGAATTGTCATTAAACACAATTCATGGATGACGTAAAAAAGCAATAATTCGTCATTTAATAAGATTAATATCAATTTAGGTAAGAAGAGTAGCTTAAAATTACGTCTGTATAGCATCATATCTATAACATGTTAGTAAGTTCTGACGTCTGAAATAGGCATGACTCATAAAATTGAGCACATAAATAAGAATTGATGCAGCGTGTCAAATATATATAACTTCATGTTTTTTTTTGTAAAGCCACAGTTTTTTCTCTTTTTATTTCTCTCGCAATTGGTAAATTAATTATGCTTTTATTTTCAGAAGGAAAATTTCCTTTTATTTCTGAAGTAATAATTATTTTAGCATATACGTGTTTGCAATGTACACATGTATCCACACAGAATATATGGACGCAGGAAAAAATGAGCCTTTTTTTAATTATAGTTTTTTTTTTATATTTATATATATAGATGTGAAAAATTGCTAATTGTTATTTTATATTTCAATTTTAAATATATAAAGTTCCTTCAATTCTTAATCAAAGTCAAACTCAACATCATCGCCTAGTCGACGGCTCGATATATTTTCTGAAGTATTTTCACTTGAATTAGAACTATTATTTGTAGTCGATTCTGCATTTCCAGAATTCGGTTGACTAGTAGATGCCTGACCACTCAATGAAAATCCTAAAATATTAACGTTAAATTTTCAAAAATAATTCAAATTAAAAAGGATCGTTAAATTTTTCAGGATTAGAAACTTACGTAAGGTATTATTAGACGCATTTGAATTGGTTTCTTCTTCCGCTACTAAAGACTTTCTACAAACAGGGCAGGTTCCGTGCAATTGTAACCATGGAAGTATGCAATCTTCATGATACACGTGCTGAAAAACAAGAAAATGTCAATAATTACCTCCTTAAATCCACGATAATGCTTAACTTACAGTGCAGGGAAGTTGACGAACTGTTTCTTTAAGCTGAAAATCCTCCCAGCAGACACTACATTGTAATCTTGAATCTACTTGTTCATGAGTTATTTCACATTTGGGTATTTCATTGATTTTCTCTTTTTCCAATGGCGGTGGACCTGAAAACATTATCGTTAATTAAATTGAATCGAAAGCATAGATAAGAAGATTATGAATTATTTACCAGCATTATCCATTTGATTTAATAATTGTGTAACAATTGTATCGAGCCCTTGCTGTCCTCCCCACGCATAATCACCTATAAATAGATGCATTATCATTAAGGAAGTTCTTTCATTTACCTAATTGGATCTTACCGGGATTGAAAAACATTGGTGTACGTCCTGTATTTGCACCATCGGTGATTGAGACGAGAATCTCTTGTAAAATGTCTTCAAAACTTATCGGTCCAGTTCTTCTTCTTCCAGCATTTCCACCGCTACTGCTAGCATCTTGATCATTGGCATAACTATTTAAATGAATCATGTCAATCGATTGACAAGAAAAATCTTAATTAAATAGATTAACTTACCTAGTTGTGGCATTAGTAAATGATCCACTAATTAATGGTCCGAGCAATGCATTCATATCGTGTAAAACTCTAAAAAATTGAGGCTCCTCTTCAGTTGGTTGACTTGCTTCTATATTTTCTGCCAGTTCCTCTATAAATCCTTGCTGACATGATGGGCAAACAAAGTCCTAATGACGAGTATTAAGCATAAATATTGAGTTCCAAAAACTTTTCTATTGTTAATTTAATTTTACAATTACTTACAGCATCTGGATGTTTGAGAAATGAATTACTGCAGCTATGACAAAAGAATGATTTACGTCTATCGCTTTCTTCTGATGATTGTGAAGACATATTCTATTAATTAGCGTTATAATGAATTTTTGCGAGAAAAAAACAAAGTTCGTCCCGTAGTTTTGTGCCCTTCGAGGTTATTTGAATTATTTTTTTAAAACATTCAGAACAGACATTTTTTGCTATAATTATAGCATCATCGGCATTGTTTACAAAAACATTGTGCCAAAATAAATTCTGCTTTTCTGCTTAATTATAGTGATTTTAATCCATTATGGACTCAATTATTCCTTTCCTTGATGAATCAGAGCAGCCGTTCAGCCATGAAGACATTATTAGAGCTCGAACAATGGTAATTACTTAAATTCACATGAAAATGTTTAAAAATTAATAAAATTCCTTCTAGATCATGGAAAACCTTAATAATCTACTGACTGCATCATCTGCTCAAATTAAAATCGAGTTGGTGACGAAGATACAGGAACAAGTGTTGAAATGGGCACCTGCAATGAGAGTTCTAGAGGAAGTTATTGACGATATTTTAGCAATTTCATTAGATCAGAATCAGGATGTAAAGAAATCGATAATTGGATTTATAGAGGAAGTCTGGTAAGTTATTGACCAACTGGATGCTACTTTGTATTCTACCAAAGTTAATCTAATTCCAGCAAACAGAAAATTAGAATGTTACCGAAAGTAATAAAATGTGTAGCAATGTTTTTGAGGTCGGAATCGGCTATTCTAATTAAGAGAGTAACACAGGCTTGTGGATCAATCTATAAAAACACATTGCAATGGATGTGCTCAACAGAAGACGTCACAGAAGAAATGAAAGATTGTTGGGAGCAATTGTGCTTAATTAAGGCACAAATCCTAGACATGATTGATCATGAGAATGATGGAGTTAGGACTAATGCAATTAAGTTTTTAGAAGGAGTAATTTTGCTACAAACACATCCAGATGCAGATAGCATGAAAAAAGACAATGATTTCTCACTAGCCGATGTTCCATTGACATTAACTCACATTAGACGTAGGAAGCTTGAAGAGGAAGCGATGAATATTTTTGAAATTCTTGTCAAATTCCATGGAGCTTCTCATATTTCCTCAGTTAATTTAATTGCATGTACAGGGACATTATGTACAATCGCCAAAATGCGACCGGCTTTAATGGGTCAAGTTGTAGAAGCGCTTAAAAATTTACATTCAAGTTTCCCTCCAACATTGACTAATTCACAGATTGCATCAATCAGGAAGAACTTAAAAATGCAATTTATTAATCTATTAAAACAACCAGCAAGCTTCGATTGGCGTACAGCAATTATTCCAATTTTACAGGATCTTGGAGCCAGTCAGAATGAAATAAATAGATCATTGCCAAAAATGGACAAAAAAGAGATCCAGATGAGGACAAAACGAGCTCTTGAAAACGAGGAAGCAAGGAATCAAGCAAAAAGAGCGAGGTTTGAAGACAAAAAGAAGTCAATGCTTCATAAAATACCAAAAGACGACGAAATGGAAGTGGACGAAGACACAATTTTTGATCAACAACGAAGATCAGACAGCATTAATGAAAAATTCATAGCTGAGGCTATTCAGAATGTAGAAGTTGCAGCACAACTTATTATTACGTCCATGACAAAGCTTCCTGATAAAATTCCAGATTCATTTATTAAGGCTTATCAGCCAAGCATTGGTCCAGTAACAATAACAAGCCAGATTGATAAAATCTCAAGAACATTCGCTGCTCAATTAACAGAAGCAAAACTTGGTCCTGGATCTAAGGAATTGACAGCAGAAGAACCATTAAAGGCTAAAATGTCAGCCGTAGAGGAACAAAGCATTGTTATGGGCGAAGATTATCAAAAAGACGAAACAACAAGGAAACTGCGTGAGACATTAGAAAGAATGAAGGAACAACCCAAGATGAAGCAACGAATCAGAACATTAAAGCTACAAGAAATAACCAAGCCACTCCACAAAGACTTAAAGCAACAATTCTTAAATGATGCAGTAAGGAGAGTCTTAAAATGTGAGAGGCAGGCCATTGTCAGTGGAATGGGATTTAAACGTAAAAAAATCATCACAGTCTTTGCATCAACATTCTTGCCTAGTGTTCGTGAAATTGTCATGGAATATATTATGGAGGACTTGATTAAAAGATTTGATTTAGCTTTCATGTGGCTTTTTGAGGAATACAGCTTAATGCAAGGATTTACTAGATTTTCATATGTAAAGTCCGAACATAAGCATGATTATGCTTACAATCGCTTACTGTCAGATTTAGTGATGAAGATTTTAAGTCGCGGATCAGAATTTCGTGAACGTGAAAGCTTAATAAAGCGGCTGTACCTTGAAGCTCCATTTGTAAGTGACGAAAGTGTTGAAATTCTTACTAAAATTTGTGAGAATGATGATTTGTATGAATGTGGACTGGTTCTGTTAAAAGACTTGCTTATTCGAAGACCTCCAAGAGAAGAATACTTGCTTGAAACTTTATTAAAATTCACTGTTCATCAAAATACTTTGGTACGGGAAAAAGCTATTGAGAATGTCATGAATGTGTACTCGATGCATCAGATTCTCTTGAAGAATATTGAAGGATTTGCTGTAAAGTCCATAATTTTCTTACAAATGCCACAACCAACTGAAAATGCAATGAAATATATGCTTTTTAATGACTTAAATCCACCAGATTCATGGACAGAGGATATGACTAAATCCATGCTTAATCTTTATCTCACTTTGTTGCCTCATAATGAATCATTAATCGAAGAATTGTCTGGAGTTTATGTTGCAGCATCGCCTGATGTTAAGAGAATAATCCTAAGAAGTATAGAAGTTCCTGTAAAGAAATTAGGCATTGAATCCAAGCCTATTATGAAATTACTGGATGTTTGTGCTAAAGGAACTGAAACTTTGATCACCAGAATCATTTACATTCTTACAGAAAATTGTAAGTTCTCCATATTACTGCCTCTGTTCCTTCATACTCATTTTAATTCTTTTACAGCATGTCCAACACAAGAGTTGATTGACAAAGTAAAGAACTTGTACAACACAAAGTTAAATGACGTCCGAATTTTGATTCCAATCATTCTGCATCTCACAAAGAAAGAAATTGTTGCGGCACTGCCAAAAATCTTGAAACTTAATCCACAGTTGATGAAGGATGTCTTTATGCGATTGTTGGGAGTTAAAACTGAAGTACAAAGAAGCAACTTACAGCCAAGTAAATGATTTAATTTTTTAATCCAAGGATTAAGTTTAACCTTATCGTTTTAATCCTTGCATAATTTTCAAATATCTTTTGGCAGTTTTTATTTTGAATAATTTTTGACGGCTAATTTTCAAATATTTTTTTACCTTTATTATTCAATTATTAATAAACCGTTATTTTTCATACTTTCAGTTACTCCAACGGAACTGCTCGTAGCACTTCACGCAATTGACACTTCGCAAGCGGAACTAAAGCTTATCGTGAAAGCCACATCTTTATGTATAGCTGAAAAGGAAGTTTATACACATGAAGTTCTTGGAGTAGTTATGCAGCAATTAGTTGAGATGAATCCATTGCCGACGCTTTTAATGAGAACAGTTATTCAGTCTCACACATTATATCCACGTCTATCAGGATTTATAACAAATTTATTGCAAAGATTGATTGTTAAGCAAGTCTGGAAGAGCAAATTAATTTGGGATGGATTTGTTAAATGCTGTCAAAAACTACAACCACAAAGTATGGGAGTCCTTATTCAATTGCCAGCATCACAACTACTAGATGCTCTCCAAATCTGTCCAGATCTTAAAAGTCCACTATTAGATTATGCTCGTGAAATGAATAAACATCAAATAAGTCACGCAACATCGCAAGTTTTGGAGGTTCTTGGCGAGTCACAAAGTGAGTCAACAACACAGCAAGAGGAACCAGACGCACCAGGCATTTAAAAATTCAATGTTAATGTTTAAGTTGTTCTTATTAATTAAAAAATAAATTGATATGTTTAAAATAGCTCTTTATTCTTCTTTTTTCCATAAACTTCTTTTTCACTGAGCGTTCTCGCGCTTTTTACTTCTTTCTTCTTCCTTTTCAATATATAAAAAAATGACATTTTAAGAATCTTCAATGATATTCGAAATTAAAAAATTTAAATAAATGAACTTAGTAAGTAGTATGAAATGATTGATCGTTGACAGAGAAAAATAATGAATGAATTGCACGTCTTGTAAAAGCTGTCGATTGAGGATTGGCTGCAAAATTGCTAGTCGACTTCTACAACTTCTGATTGTTGTGCTGGAAACAAATTACAATATTAATTCATATAAAAATTTGTAAAATTATTGCAATCGCTGTCCGAGACCCGCTTTTCTCAATTTTTCTTTATCAAGTGCATTCCAAAGGCTAAGCATACCTTGTGTAGTAGTTTTATTTGACTGTTGACTAGGTTTTTGAACACGTGATAAATTCTGAATTCCTTGTGAATTTAATGGTTGACTTGTGACTCGTTGTAAGCTAGCTTGATTGATATTCGGTCGCTGAGTTAGTACTTGAGCATTGCTTCTTTGAGGTTCCATTTGTTGTGTATTTAAACGCTGTGAACCAATTTGTTGGGAGTTTTGAGACATGGACATCGAATCTCCGATTCTTATTCGCTTTAGAGTCTGATTTGTTTGATTCTAAAATAATTTTTTAGCGTATTTTTCAAATTTAAATTTTCAAAACCTTACAAATTATTACAAAAATGTTTGAAACTCCCTCAAATGTTTCATAATTCAAAAAGAAACCGTTAAAAACATTTGTATGGTTTTGAGCACAAATATTTTAAAACTTGTAATGTTACTTACATCAATGACCCTCTTTTCATGCTGCAACATTTTCGGAACATTCGGCGACATAATCTGTTTTGTAGGTTGCGTAGGACGTGAATTTAAGATTTTTTGTTGCGACAAATTGAGATTCGGAGTCACAGTTTGTAATTTATTGACTGGTTGGACGGGAGGAATAGTTTTAGGAGGAAGTCGAATTATCGATATTGAATCATTGCTCGTTTTATTGCCAAGATTTATTATTTGCGTACCTGAAGAATTTACTTGTTTCGGAACATTAACAAGTTTTGGAGTTACTGGACTTTTGCTTAACTGACGATTTAATGTCTTCATTGCAGGACTGACAGTGACAAGATTTTGTTTCTTATTTAAAGGCGTAGTCTTATTATTTGTCGGTTTAAGCCATGGTGTTGCTGAGCCAATTTTCCTCATTTCTGAAATTTGAATATTATTTGGAATTTGAGGATTTAATGCTCTTTGTTGAACTGTCGAGTTTGTTGGTTTTTGAATGACTGTGCCTTGTGATGGCTTTCCAACATTTGGACTAAGTGACTTTTGAGCCACAATACCTGCATTAGATTGATTTTTGTTAATGTCACCAGTTTTTGTCATAATAACATTTGGACGTATTAAGCTACGCTGATTACCAAGAAGTTTATCTGCCAAACCTTTAACAGCATTAAATGTCTTACCAGCTAATGAGATTTTTTCGACTTTCTTTGGATCATTTGTTGCTTTTGGTAATGTTCGAGCTGACGTACCTGCAATAGATTTCGGTGGTGTTTGATCATCAGGCAGTATCGATAAATTCTCTGAACTATTTGGTGGCACAACCATTGGATCCATAATGACAGTCCTTTTTGATACATTATTCTTATTTGTATCCTTTTTGTTGTAGCCTAAATCATTAACTTTTTTCTTTGGTAAATTCTTATTAATCTGTGATGAACCTGACGTTTGTGCTGCATTGTATAGCATCATTGTTGGCACTAATGATTGATTATTATTACTATTACCAGATACTGGCGGTGCAAAAATACTATTTGAAGCAGGTGGAATGTTATTTGCATTGTACGATGATGTCGCAGCAACTGCCATATTTCCTAATGCTGAAATTGGATTATGTGAATTACGAAGAACTGATTGTTGCATTAATGGGGAGGTTGATGAGGTAGAATGAATATTTGTAGACGTGGGTAGAGTTGATGAGTAAATATTTAAAGGATCGTAATTTCCAAATCTTTTAAGTAGGTCGTGGGTATAAAATCCTGAAGACATTGGGAAATATGAAGAGCTCAAACCTAATGTGTCTAGTCCAGATAGTGATGTCGATGGCATTAATCCTGCCAAATTGCTAAAGTTTGTTGGTGATTGCATCTAATTTGAGAATTTAAAAGTTTTAAATTTTTTCTTTGTGGATTAATAGTTTGCAAACAACTTACCAAGTTATAAAGGTTCATAAAGTCTGCAGGCATTTGACTCTTTCCAAAAGCTCCCATAAGTTGATTATTAGGATTATTATTCTGAAGCTGATGTCGATTTCCTTGCAATTCGGCCAAATATGAGTTCCATGCCTCATTCTTTTCATCCTCATTCAACTCTTGGTCTGGCTTATTTTCCAATAAACTGTCATGTTCATGAAAATTGTATGCTGACTTTGGAAGTGCGTGTATCAGATATCTGAGAATGTCATCACATGGGAAGTTTGGTGTCTTTTCCTGTGGCTTCAGCTCATATGGAACGAATAGTTCTTCAAGTTCAGTTCGACTGAAAAATTAAAATTAAGTTATTAGATAAATCTGCAGATCAAAATTAATCGGTAAATTCTTTTGATATCCACAGCTTACACATAATGTCGATCAATCTGCTTCTTCTCCACAACTCGATGGCTCATTGCCTCCTTTGTCACACTTCTTGAATAAACTCGTTCTTCCATTGTAGATGCAGCAACAAGTCGATAGACATAGCATGTTTTTTTCTGACCCAAACGGAAGATTCGGAAAATGTTTTGATTGTCATTTGCGGGATTCTGGAATGTTAAATTAATTGTCGTTATTTTGTTATTTAAATTTTCAAGTTTTTTCAATCGGTTATTTTTAAAGTTCTGAATCGGTTATTTTTCAAATATTTTCGTTCATTAGTTTTTGAATAACTCTTAGCCGTTACTTTTTAATTTTTTTTCTGATCAGTCACATGACATTAAATGAGAGTAAAAACTTACCCAAGAAGTGTCAATAATAATGCAACGATTAGCAGCAACTAGATTAATTCCCTGACCACCAGCTTTTGCACTAAAAAGGAAATAATCATTAGATTATGAATTTTCAGCCACAAAAAAGAAATTTACCTGATCAAGAAGCATCGAAGTCGCGGACTTGGCGAGTTATTATACATGTTAATCATTTCTTGACGAACATTTCGCGGTGTTGATCCATCAAGACGAAAATAATCTTTTCCTAGTTCCCATGTCGTTTTGTATTTGTCTAATCCGTAAAGCTTAGCATTGGGATTTGTATCCTGATTATGAATAGCTTTCATAAATCCTTCAATAATATCCAGGACAGCAACAAATGATGAGAATATCAGAATCTTTTCCTTCTTCATTTCACAAAGTCGTAGGATCTCAAAAAGTAATATCATTTTGTGTGATGATGTTAAGGAGTTCATATCAGTTTCCGTGAGCATGCTATTCCACCAATTATTTGTGACAGCTGTTGTGCCTTGACTAGTATCGAAAATATCATCAGGTTCGTCGCCTTCTTCCTCATTAAATACATTTTGTGATTTCTTTGTTTCCTTTTGTGTCTGTAGCTGCTGCTGCTGTTGATTACTTAAAAATTTATGCTCACCCTTTTTAGCACGTTCGTATGCATATTGTAATACACGAGGATGTGTCCAGATCTTACGAAGTGCTGTATAAATTGGAAGTAAATTTCGTCCCATGTGATCATCACGATTAGCTTGCAAGCATGAATTATAAAGTCGTTCCTGGACTTTTGTTAATGGAATAGAGATACAATACTCATATTTCATAGGCAGAAACTCTTTAAGTACTTGAGCATCTTTACGTTGAACAAATCTCGACAAGTTCTTATTAAGGACATACGATTTTTGCTTCATTTTCTTAATTTGATGATCTGTCGAGTCTTTATTCTGTCCATCTTTAATTGGATTCGCGTAAATGTTATTAAATTCATGAATAGTACCGAGAATATTTGGTTTAATCCATTCAACCATCGCATAATATTCATGAAGTGCATTTTGTACTGGAGTTCCTGTTAATATAATTCGTCGACGTGTTGTGACTTTTGTAATTGCACGATTTGTGGCTCCTTTTTGATTCTTAATAATGTGTCCTTCATCACAAATAGCAATGTGCGGTCCTGGATTTAATAAATACTTTGAGATTTGTTGCTTATATTTTTTTGTCGTTTCCTCAGGTAGTGCAATTTTGCTACGCTTATGTGATCCACTCCAATTTGCTAATATTCTAAATGATTCATAATTGATAAGGAATACACTCGGTCGCTTTGACTCAAACCATTCCCTTAGTTTGTCTATTCGCTTTTCAATCCTTAAATTATCCTCTAAATATATCACAACCGGTTTATTATCAAGTCCATTTAACCACTTTCGGAACTCTTCGACCCAATTATGGATTGTTGATTTTGGACAAATTATGAGAATTCGTTTTGTATGTAATTCAGGATAACGAGTGACTGTGTGCAATAGAGCTATCAATTGAAGTGTCTTTCCTAAACCCATACAATGTGCTAAAATGCAACCTGAACCATTATTTTCTTTTACTTCGTCAACCGATCCGTAGCAACTGAAAATAAATTTAAAAATGGTTATTTAAATTTTGAATTTTAAACTGTGACACGTGATCGTAACGGATTAAATGTTATACTTAAGATTTTCAGTTAATTGTATAACATTGAAAAAATAATCATAACATAACTACACCCACTGATGGTGAAATAAGATCATCAAATTCTCAGAAGTAACTCAATTAAAAAATTAAATGAACTTACTTGTTGTACATGAATTTGATGCCATCAACTTGATGATCCTTTAACTTTCCAACAAGTGTCTCATGAACCACAACTGCCAAATTCTTTTCTTCACTGTAATCAAGCACCAATTCATCTGCAGCTATTACATCACTCTGTGACAACCTTTGTGTTAAATATTGTGTCATTTTCTTTTCCTTATCTTCCAGCTTTTTTACACGCTCATTTTCATCACGTTTTGCCTTTTTAGTTTCTTCTTTCAGTTCCTCTTCTGTTAATTGTTTACGACGTCTTGTGGTTCCTTCCGAAATTGTCGAGCTTATTTCACTATCGCTCTCTGAACTTATACTAATGCAATCTATATCATCTAATGTGGGGGACGGAGCTTTTGATGATTTTTGTGTGTCATTTTTCTTTGGCGATGAATCGACCTTCATGCTGTTTAATGGTTGTTCAGTTGTTGTTAGATCCTCAGCATTGCTTGATATTTTCTCAAGATATTTTTCTAAAGTTGGTGCCATTCTGTCTGCGCGAATATTAATTGGTTGTGTTAAATCTACAACACTCGTTTTTGGACCTTCAATGCTGTTCCTTTTTGAACTATTTTGTGATCCTTTCTTCATCTTCTTTGTTGCTTGTTGTCCATCACTTTTATCACTTTCGTTGCCACTTGATTCATCGTCTGAGTCATTCAAAAGACTTTTATTGAAGATTTCCCGCTCAAAACTTGATTTTCTGTGCCTTTTTCTCGACTTTTTATCCTCACCATTTTCCTTAACGTCAAACATGCTTTCATCACTTTTTGTTGTACTTATATCCATTTGTGGAGTATCTCCATTTACTTTAGGACTTGATTCTAGTTCCTTAGATTTTTCATTCTTGTCAGACATTTCTTCGTCACTAAATTCAAGCTTTTTGGCATGTTTCTTCTTCTTTTTTAATGCTTTACTGCCAATTCGATCATCATCGGTACTAAAATCTGATGTTTGGGATGTGACATATGATTCCTCGTCTTCATCGTCATCTGAACTTGCTAGTAAATCGTTTCGAGCTTTCATTTCAAGCCTTTGCTTTAATTTTAGTTCCTCGTCTTCACTTGATTTTCCTTCATCGTCACTCTTGTCGTTCTTTTTAGGCGATTCAGACTCACTTTCTGAGGATTCACTGTGTACAGACGAGTCATCTGAATTTTCTTTAGTCTTTTTCTTTGCCTTTTGAGTTGATTTTACTGCTGCATTCTGTGATTTTTGTGTTTCGTACCTTTTTTGATCTAAAGACTTTAAATTTGTTAGACGATTGACGGAACTATCACTATCACTATCGCTTAAATCCTTGTCTAAGCTACTGACAGATGATTTTCTAGATTTTAATGTCTTCTCGTCTATGCTTGATTTCCTTGAAGGTCCAGCGACATCATCTGCTGTTACTTCAATGTTATTCGATGTTCTCCTGGATTTTGATATATTGTTTCTGATCTTATTGATTTCATTGTCGATCAGCGATTTGTCCTCGTCTGATTTGTTGTCAATAGCCATCATTAATGCAACATTGAATGATATAAAATTGTACAGAGATGTCGTGAACTTAGAATTTCCGTTTTCGACATCTTCTTCGGTTACAAAGACAGAATCTAATAGCTTTTGATTATTCTCACAGAATTCAGCAGTCTTTTCTTGTGCTTTATTAACGTATACTTTTAATTTGTCTGCTTCCTCGTCTATAGTTCCATTGACTTTACATTCTTCCTTATTTTCCATCACTGTATTACCTGTATTTATTTCCATAACTTCTTGCTTAACTTGAATTACTTCACTTCTCATTGATATATCACTACAAGACATTTCCATCTCGATAGATGCGACCAATTCATCAGATTTTAATGATTCTGATGTCTTGTCGATTTCTACTTGATTTTCTGCACTTGAATTTTCGTTTTTGGACTTGTCAACGAACTCTGTAGCCTGTACAGTTTCATCAGGAACTTCATCTGGTTTAGTTAATATTTCATTTTCATTATTATCCAGCGAGAACATCATTTGTTTGAGATAAAGTGACAATTGTGAATGCTGATGCTCATTTGTCAAGTTTTCAAAGAATTTTGTGTATTCTTTAAGCAAAATTATTGCATTTTTACTAGTTGATAGATTTGCTTCTTGCAGGATATTCTTAACAATGTCATCACAGAATGAATTAGGTTCTTTTGGTGGTGGTTGCGAGTAAGAATGATCATTACTTTCGTTACTCTTATTAGCTCGTGTACTGTCATTTGTTGAGTCTGTACTTGTGTCTTTTTCCTCGACATTTTCAACAATTTCAAATTGTTCCTGTTCCTGTATCGAGCAATCGTCATCAAGTTCAATTGGTGTTTTCAGAAATTCACTTTCAACAATGCATGTTTTGTAAGATTCTGTGGCTTCACTGGAAGTTCCTTCTTCTGATATTTTCTGTTCGTTAAGTGATGGCATTTTAATGTCCATTGAATTATCATTGTCGATGTCAAACGGTGTGCTTGATCTTTTTGGATCTTCTTCCCTTAATTCAATTTTTATTGCTGTCATACCTGATGCTCGCGGTTCTTCTTCTTCGTCATCTATATACACTAAATCAGGTGCTTCTTCATTCGCTGCAACAGACACGACTTGGACATCCTTAAAAAGATTCTCTTCCATCGTTTGTTTTTGTTGTAAATGTTGTTTTTATGGATTGTTTTTCTATTATTTTTGTTGTTGTTATTTTTCACCTAAAATTGTGCAATTATCGACTTTAAAACTTGTTTAAGATATTGATTCATGTACAATCATACTGATTCTAATCTATGCTGCACATAGTAACATAATTAAATAAGTTATATACTTACTTTTCAATATTTTACATTTTCAAAATAATGTTCATAAATTTTTCCGCTTTTTTCTCTTTTTAAAAATTTTACCTCTTTTTTAACTTTAAATAATGTTCTTTTATGTGCTATATATAGATTAAAGTCTTATTTACATAGCATTAATAATTTTCTTGAATTATTCAGCCGTATTCTATCAGTTTTCTTTAATTAAAGAATTGTGGTTTCTTCTACTAGGGGTCCTAGATTTGAATAGTTTCGATTTGAGAACGAATTTTTAAAACAAAACAACTACTCAAGTAGACTACCCCCTCGTTGTTATCAAGTCTTGAATTTTAAGGCTTTTAGGTGCTTCCATTGGCAAGATGGTTTTAGGGATCTTTAAAAATTTGAATTATTAGCAGTTTAACGTTTTTCAAAAATTCAAAAAAAGTCACGGGCTAATTCATGTTATTTTTTGGTTCAAAAAATCCGTTGAAAAATTACTTAACAAGAAATTACTGCAAAAATTTCATTTAATTTAATTCATATCAAAATCATCCAATTTAGAGCTCTAGCTTAGCAGATATCATTCACAACTTGATATAAAGGCAGTAAGGATCAAAGATGCCAAATTATACAGTAAAAGTTAAATGGAATAAGGAAACATTTACAAATGTTGTGAGTATTTCAGCAATTTCGCAATCAATACAGAAAGTACTGTTTTTAAAGTCACTTATTGCCTGCCAATATCTATACAAAATGGATATTAGTCGACTGTAATTAATACAATGAACTAGAAATGCGTTTTAAATGAGTTTCTTTAATTTTTTGCTAAAATAGGTTGTAAATACCGACGAAAGTGTCTTAGAATTCAAGGCTCAGCTATTTACCTTATCATGTGTACCAGTCGGTAAGTATCACTCATTAATCAGCATAATTAATAACTACCCAAACATCCAGTCATTCAAAATACCCAAAGAACAAGCATTATCATTGACATTTGACATTTTGATCCTTTTGTTTACAACATTTTTGCTTAATTAAAGTTTAATCAAATTCGCAGAGCGTCAAAAGATTATGTGTGCTGGAAAGACTCTTAAAGACGACGAGTGGAACATCCCATTGAAAAATGTAAGTCTTGGTCACTCAAAAATTCTGCTTAGTCATTCCTTACTTTTTCTTTGTTTATGACTAAATTACAGTACTGCTACATACTATTAATGTTATTGTCAAATATTTTTTAGGGCGCTGTGATTCTTTTATTAGGAACATCAGAAGAGATCTTAGTGGCACCAGTTGAGAAAACGAAATTTATTGAGGATATGAGTGAAAGTGAGCTTGCTCAAGCTATTGAACTGCCGCCAGGCTTAGTAAATTTAGGCAATACTTGTTATTTAAATGCTGTGGTTCAATGTCTTCGATCGGTTCCGGAGTTGCGTGAATGTTTAAAAGAGTTTAAGCAAGAAGCTGGCTTTGCAGCACCGCAATCAATTACTCTTGCAATGAAAGGTGTTTTCGACCAAATGGAAAGAAGTGCAACGGTTACGCCAATTATGTTATTGCAGACATTACATGCTGTATTTCCACAATTCGCTCAAACTGGCGAGAAAGGAACATATCGTCAACAAGATGCAAATGAATGCTGGGTTGAATTATTAAAAATGCTCCAACAAAAACTGCCGACTCGTAATAGTGAAACAAGCACAACATCGTATCCATCATTTATTGAGCAATTTTTCGGCGGTACTTTTGACTGCTCTATGAAATGTACTGAATCTGAAGACGAGGAACCGTCAAAGTTGAAGGAGAACTTTCTTCAATTAAGCTGTTTTATTAATCAGGAAGTAAAATATATGCACAGTGGTTTACGTTTACGCTTAAATGAACAAATAACAAAGCGCTCACCTACGCTCGAACGTGATGCTATTTATACGAAACAGTCACTCATTAGTCGATTGCCAGCATATTTAACCATTAATTTTGTTAGATTTCAATATAAAGGAAAGGAAGGTATTAATGCAAAGGTATTAAAGGATATTAAATTTCCACTCGAGTTTGATGCTTTTGATCTTTGTTCTCCCGAATTGCAACAAAAATTGATTCCAATGAGAACAAAGTTCAAGGAAATTGAGGATGCAGCTGTAATAGAAAAGGATCAAATTAAGATGAAAGGCGATAAGGTTGAGGAGAAGAAGACACGAGCATTGCAGTACTATTTTGACGAGGATTTAGGAAGCAATAATTCTGGCTTTTATACATTACAAGCTGTTTTGACTCATCAAGGTCGAAGTTCATCGTCTGGACATTATGTGGGCTGGGTTAGACATAAAGGCGATAAATGGCATAAATTTGACGATGACACAGTCACGCCAATGGCTTCTGATGAAATTCTTCGCTTGTCTGGCGGTGGAGACTGGCATGTTGCTGTAAGTTGTGCCTTAATTTACTTTTTACAAGCTATAAAATTTCATTTTTTAATTTTTCTAGTATTTGCTTCTCTATGGCCCAAAAATCTGCAATGAACCAATCGAAGAAAGTAAGGAAGAGGCCACACCAATGTCAGTCGATTAAGCATCAAACTTTTATTAATTTTTATTGATTTAAACATTTGTAATTTCATTAATAAATCATGTTTATAAAAAGGTCCTCTAGTATGACACATGTGCATTAGTATTGATGGTGTCTCACTAAATGGCATGCAAACTTTTTGGCAAATAAACAATTGTGTTTAAATTATTAGATTTGGGGTTGTTCGGAGATAATTGTTGCTGTTTAAAAATTATAATTTCAGTTGTTTAGAAAAGTTCGAAATTAATGAATGAAGATAAAATAGAGCATTGCAGCAAAAATATGAAAAAGTTCAAGAACAACTTTTCAAATTAATATTTGAATAACATTCACTGATTCGTATGTGAATTCTTCATTAATGCTTGAAAATTCTCGCAAGCAAACGATTGAGTTTTGTGCAATTTAGAGCTCAAATTCATTGAGTCGAGTACAATGAATTTGATGATTTTTCTGTTCCTGTTGATTTTAATTGAAAAAGTTTTTGTTGCTGATTTGGATTTTTCATGAGAGTTGTGAGGGAAGTAATTTGGTAATTGAGGAATCAAATTATTAGATTTTGTTTTGCTGAACTTTCGAGAAAAGCATAAAGTTGTTTAGAGGAAAGTCTTTGACGAAGTTAGTCAAATAGGAATTTAAACGAATGAAACTCAAAAAGCTGCAGAACTAATTCCTAATTCGATTCTAGTTTCATCAAAAAATTCAAGATTTTACAGATCAGTCACTCAAAATAGCTTTCTAATTGAAAATGAATATTTCATTAATCCTAACTTAATATAAATGATGAAAAATGGAAAGAAAAACCTTCCTTTATGCTAATGAAAATCCTGTTAAAAATAAAAATTAATTTTTCAAAAAAGTTATTCATCTTAGGGGCCGTTCACTTATTACGTTACGCAAAAAACCGACTTTTTTCACCCCCCCCCCTCCCCCCTGTTGTTACAACATGTTACAACTCACAACCCCCCCCCCCCCCTGAACGTTCATAATTCAATTTTTTTTCGTGAACTTTTTTTTAAAAGACAGACGACAGTTAGAACGTAACATACTTCTTGACACCCCCCCCCCCCCCCCTCCCCCCATGTTACAGTTTGTTACAATTTTTCAAACCCTCCCTCCCCCTAAAATGCGAACGTAATAAGTGAACGGCCCCTTAATGAAAAAAATGAAAAAGGATAAAAGACTTCCGCAACCCTTTAAAATTGAAAAGATTTTGAGAAAGTTTAATAAATTATTCATTTTTAAAGGGATTCGTGAACCGTTGGATTAGCATAGTAAATAATCAATAAAGATTTCTGCATTAATTCGTCTTGGTTCACTAATTCGTTCATTTAGAATAATTTAAAAGAGTATGAGTTTGTAGATTGAAGTGGCATTGAAGCATAGTTCAAGATTGATGTTGAACTTTTAATCATATTTTATATTCCTTTTGAAGCGCTTGGACTTGAAAGGATGATTGTTGTATTGGACATGCTTGTATTGAATCTAAAATGAAAACCCTTTGAAAAAATCAAGTTTATTTTGGCGCCAAAAGTCCTAAAGTGATAATTAAGGTAATCAGATTCAGTTGTTATTAATTCATCTTTAAAGTTCATAATAATAATCATCCTGATTCTAATTAAATATTTTTCACATTTTGAGAATCACAAAGTAAGTCATAAACTTGCTTCCCAAACAGTTCCAAAGGTTCTCAAACCTTTCAAATCTCAATACAAAAAATGATAAAATATTGAAAAATAAATCCCTCAATTTTACTATAGAGCTTTAAAATAAAAATAATACAGAATCAGCTTACAGTATCTACTTAATATCAGATTTATTGTGAAGCTTAAAGGATCGACTGGGGAAAAAATGGCAAACAAAAAGAATCGTAGATGTAGAACAAAAAGAAATGAATGAATAATGTAATTATCATTAATCTCTATCGGCACCTTCCATTTCTCTCACATCCATCTACACATATGTTTATGGATCATTTTGCATTGTATGTGAACGATAGACACATCCAGCTAGGAAATTTATGAAGTGTAATTAATTAACATGCTAATGAAAATGTCACGCAAATACAGCGGAAAAGAAAAAGCTTTGTCAACTGAATACATTTGTGCATGTTTATGCCATTTTACAGCCACTAGAGCAGATGAAAAATGAAAATTTATGAAAACCCATTTTGCCTTCGTTTGTTGCGATGCGACACAACGAGCTGCAAAAGAAATGGATTTTTTTTTGTTTCTGTTTTTTTCATCAAATCGCCTCAAGCTCGTCTTGATAATCTGTGTGCTGTATGCTATAGAAGTCAAAGTTTTTTTAACTGCTGAAATTGTTTTATTCATGAAATTATGGAATAGCTCACAAAGGAATCATTTATTCAAGTTCTTAATTTTAGTGCTTTCAGATTCAATTTTTCTCAAACAAACTTTCCATGATGAAGGAACATCAGCAAATGGCTTCATTAATTTGTAATTAATTAAACTTATCCTTCAGCCTAGACAATGTACCCATATAACTTTTACCTTAATCGTTTTTGGAAGTCAGGAAAACATTGTGCAAGTAATTTTAATTATGATAATTGCCTGTATTTCGTGTATGCCACAATACTTATTACATGGTACAGTAAAGTAGCTTTAAAAGTGAATGAACGGATCCGAGGCACATTAATGTAATTATTTTTGTGTAAAAGTTCTTCACAACTTTTCTGTTCCTTATTTAATTTATCTGCTTTATAGATTTTCACTTCTACAGTTGAAAATTCTTTGCTGGAAGTTTCATTGGCTTGGAATTTTATGAGTAATTAAGATTTGCGACTTGTTATTTCGTCCATAAATTATGATATCGTTAAAAAGTTTTTCTGCATTTGACGCTTTTTTTGAGAAATTATTTTGTGGGAAATGCGAAGTTTTTGTGTTTACTGTGGGAAGCATAAAGTCATTGCTCCTATATTGTTAGTTCCGTGATTTTAATTATTATTATCCATTTTATAAAATATTTCATAACTGACTTGAATTTCCAGCTTAGGATTGCTTACCGAACTGTTCTACTGATCCTGTTCATTACAATGACAGACATTGTACAAAACGAGAAACATCCTGAGGTCAAAAACCACGACAAATCTGACAGATATGTCTGAAATTTTCATTTCATTTCCTTCCAAATCTTTTTTCATGTCAAATTTGATTTGAAAGCTCTTAACCTCAAAACCAAATAATGCAGAATATAATGCGCTTAAGCCATAGAATTCATTAAATATTCAAACCCTCAAATCCTTTATTTTCTATTTTGTTATTATAAAAAAAAAAAAAATCATTTTATACATAAAACGGATAGCATACAATGTGCAATTGTACATGTTCATATGAATAAATAAAAACTGAAAAATCACTGGAATCTGCAATGCACAAAACTGTGCTTTCATGTTCATTTGAAGTAAAAAGTTCTTTTTTGCTGTATTTTTTTTACTTCCATTTCATTCACTCGATCACATTTTATCTATGCAGTAGTTAAGCGGATTTTTAAATCCTTTCTTTCCATTTTCTAGCTTAAAGCTTCTGTAAAGTTGAATATAAAAATCTCTCTAATGGATATTGTGATTTAGATTTAAAGGTTTTATTATCCATATTTATTTCGTGTATTTCAATAAATCTTGCCTGTTAAGTGCTAGGATTAATGTTTTATTGACCATTAAGGGTGATTTTATGTTGTTTTGCATGTCTTATTAGAAGGATTTTGAGAAATTGAATCTAAATTGACATGCTGAAAATGTAAAAAGTTGATCATCATCACTTCCTTCTTTCTATATATACTTCTTGAATGACGAATGAGAATTATGATGTAAATTATTGTTTCAAACTAGAATATTTTTTAACTCCAATCCAGTCTAAATTGTAAAAAATTCTGAATGTTTGAATTTGGCAAAGATTTAAAATTTTATATCAACTACAAAGGAGACCTTAATGTTTCAAGAACTAAATCAGTTTAGAAATTACTCGCCTACAGCATAAACGCACTTCATTCATGATTCAAGTCCCATGATTCCGCAAAATCATAGCTCAACAAGGTATTTTATCTATTTCTACAAAATATATTCCATTTAAGTCTACACATTTTCAAGATCACAATACGTTTTGTTCATTATCGCCCACATGCATGCATTGATATTTATAAGCATATTTCTTATGGCCATCCCATTTCTATTTCCAACAAAAGAGAGTATCTTCAACATCAGAAAGTTCAGTACCCAATAAAATATTCAAAAGAATCTAAAACTTCCGTACAATAAAAATCTATTTCATGGAAATTAATAATAATTGTTCCTTAATTTTAGTACAGAAAAGCATTAAAGCCCAAGAGTTCCTTAATTTTTATCGTCTGAGCATCTAAAAATAACAATTTTTCCATTCCTCTTCATCGCATCGTCGTCATCATTTATTAAAGAATTTTTATGTCACTAATAATACTTACCATTGGCGATTCTACTTAAACATCGTACAGTTTTGAGCATCAGCAGCAGCAATACGACAAGAAGGAAATATAAAAATTCTCGAACGAGAGAAAATTTTCATTTTCAATTGCGGAAAAATATTTTCCTTCATATTGAATCTTTAACGTTAAGTAAATATTAATATGTAAACACCATAAATGCTTTCAACCTCATTCGACCTGATGCGGAAAAGGCAGCATTAAAAATTTAAGAAGTCATAATATAAGGTAGCAAGAGTCAATAGTAACAATATTATGGCAAAGTTTGTGAAAATTGTTACACTAGAGCAATCTAATGATATTATCATTATGACTCTGAAAGTTTCTGCACTTTCCCCTTCTCATTTGGCGCTTTTAATGGATGAAAGAGATTTTTGGATGGAAATGACAGCACAGTTTTTGGTAGGAAGATGAACATTGAATTGAAAATTAAAAATGCATTCATTAGATTTTAACTAGTTGAATGCATATAAATTTGGCATGATTATGGATGTGATTGACAATCTATTGCATAGATTGTTGGACATTTTGAAGCAAGGAATATCTATTTTACGATATTCAAATTTTTTATCACTATTCTATAGACATTTTTGTTTCAATTCCAAAATATTGAATGATGAAGATTGTATCCAAACGTATCAAGCTTAAATAAATTCCCAAAAAACTCTCAACAACACTTCAAAGTAAACTTGCAAAAGTGTTATTTTGATCGCATCCG